AAGTTATGATGATTGCATTAGTTTACCTGCAGTGAATGAGCTCATTTTACTGCTAATGGAAACATCCTTGCATTTCACCCCAGGCGAGCGTTTTTATTGTGCTTCAGGGGTTTCCTGCAGAAGGCCTGGGAGTGGACATAATGAAAGTAATAATCCATCTTATGGGATTTATAAAACAATTCGCAGCTTGGGTTCCAGTGGCCAAACTAAATAAATAATATTCATTGTTCAAGCGATCAAAAGAACTTAGTGGAAGATACCGTAGCGAGAGAGGGAGACAGACGAAGAGAGAGAAAGAATGAAGTGTGTTCGTGCTTGTTTTATCTTTAAAGGAATAAAGAGTGCCTGCTTTGTCTCTCTGTGATAGCACACTGAGGGCTTTGTAGTGTGAAAATGTCAGTAGCAGTTCAGTACATAAAAGGACAGTTCTAATAGTGTCGCTTCTTTCAACTTGCCACTTTGATTTTGATGCAGGACCGCTTTGAATTTGTGGATACCTCATTAACACCACTTAGCGTGGGATGGAATGAACAGCAATACATAATCATAGCAATTACGAAAACTATCTCTCAACCATGTTACCGGCCTGTACCGACTATGTGAATGCGATTACTCAGATGGATGTTCTTTTATGTTATCTTTCATAGAAAGTTTGTGCAAATTTGCCGGTATTCACACATGTGCCTGTTTAGAGATCAATAAGAATTCCAGCTTGTTTCAAAATACTTTTAAAATAGTTGATTGCATGGTTGCTTTGAATGTCTTCTAGTGTAGTCACAGCAGAAGATTTATATTGCAGAAAAATGTAATTAAAATAAATGAAGATGAAAGATAATAGATCTTGACACTAGAATATTTTGGTTAACTGCATCTGATTCCCATTGTGGATTTAAAGGGACAGTTCACCAAAAATGAACACTTTTTGTAATCATTTGCTTACTCTGTTTTCAGTTCAAAGCTGTACGATTTTCTTTTCTTTTTTTTTTTTTTGGAAAAATTTATTTTTTAAATTTATCTTATTTATTTATTTTTTGCCATAAAATGAAAGTCAGTGGGGTCCAGTGTGGTGGGGGGTTTTGTAAACTAAAACTATTAAAAAAAATTTTCATTGTTTAAAAAAATAAAGCCAAAATAAAATATAAATTATAGATGAAAATAAGTTGCCGAGGCAATATTTCAAATTTGTTTTTATTTAAAAAAGTAAGTATTAGAAATATAATAAAAACTAATAAAAATGCAAACTAAAACTATTAAAATCATTTTCATTAATTGAAATAAGGCCGAAATAAAATATAAATTATAGATGAAAACTTATTTTAATTCTGTTAGTTGCCAACAAATAAAAATGACAAACATGTATATAATTGCTAAAGCATACAGAATTTATGAAACATAAAAATACATAAAATTTAAATGAATATGGCAAAAAAATTAAATATTATAGTATTAAATAAATAATACTAAAGGGAATAATACACTGGGACTCCAGTGTTCTTTTGGACCCTATTGACTATCGAAACATTCTTCAAAATATCACTTTTTATGTTTTACAGAAGACAATGTCATACAGGTTTGAAACACCATGGAGATGAGTAAATAGTGATAAGAAATGTTTAATCAGAATATTCTGACGTCAAGGCCAATTCTCTTTGCCGTGCCTTCAAATATGCTGTAGCAAACAGGATGTGGCCCTCCCACTGGTTGCCCAGAATATACCTATTCTCTCTCACAGATACACCCGTTGAAGAGTTAAAAGCAGTTAGTGGAAGTATAGTTACTGGCTGGAGTGGAGGATATCCTGCAAACTACAATGACTTAATGAGATCCCACCAAGATATAACTGTAGCTGGCATTTAAAACAGGCTGAGAGAGTTCTCGCAGCGATCCGTGTCTTCATAGACAGATGTTAATCATATGCAGCGCCACCTCTGGCTCAGTGCTTCACTGTCAGTGTTCTGCTGTGCCAGAGGAATGCAACTCTTAAACACACACAAATCAAAATCTGCCGTTCAAAATAGAAAACATGCGTCAATTAAACCGTGACTTCTCCAGCTGGGTTATTTTTACTGAATCACATATTTCTTAAATGGCCGATATATGCATCTAACCTTCTAATTTTCACCTGTCACTATATGTAAAATCTGCTTTTCTTATGTTTTGTTCTTTAATTGTTTCCCCACTGTCCTTGAAATTAAAACAACTCCATATATGTCCTGTCTCTCTCCTCTCGTTCCATTCACTCTTTGCACAATGATTTTTACTTTGACCCTTGACTCCAATTCCTGATGCCACTGTTTTTTTGTCTGTATCTCAGTCCTCTTGGGACATCTTGAGCGCTGGGCAACATGGGTACAGTAGGTCGTGTTCTCAGCTGAACTCTTCCGTTATCTTGCTTCATCTTCGATATGGTTGCTTCCAAACAATGGAACCATTGAATCTTAGCTGCATATTTAAATAAGTTTGTAACACCCTGTTTTGCTCTATTTCCCAGTACTAAGAGTTATGTCAGTGACATATTAGAGCGTTTACGATAAAGACAAAGTGTTCTAAAAGAAAGAGGGAATCTAGTATGTGCCAAATATTTTACTCTTGGTTTTGGAAAAACTTGATTGCATTTTCAAGGCTTTTTCAGTGTGCCTACACAAGCGATTCGATTAATCACGGGTCAGTGCCAACACTTTGACGGGACTTTTTGATGTTCGGTTTCCTCTGTTACTTCACCATGGCCAGACTGCCTACAGCCTGGACAAAGGCAGTCAGTCAAGACCTTTACTTTGTTTTCATCCCTCTCTGTCCCTTAATGACCAAAGTTAACTTTCTTCACGGTAATGAGAGCAGCAGTGAAGGTTGCCATTAAGGAAGCAAGCGGCCGTGTATCAATGTATTGCGCAATTAGAAAAGATTGAGCTCTGGGCCACTTTCTTTCCCAAATCCTGTCAGCAGTAAGTGCTAATTTCCAATAAACCATGTGTGCACGGCAAATACATTTGACCGGACGGTGACAGCAGGTGTCCAGATGGTGTGAAAAGCAAGTTAATTAATCTGAGTGATATTTTATCAATTGGAATAAATCTATAAAGGCATTAAGAGCAGTGAAAGGTCATATGTGACTGTGTATATAAGCTGCGTCGCATTAAACATGACTCTGCTGGAGAACTGTGGCGAGTGGCAGCTAACTGCAAGAAAGAGCACAAATATTGACTTCCTTTTTCAATTCAGTTTGACAAACTGAAATCGGGTAAATCCACACAGGCAAGCTGGCGGGAGGGCAGTAAAAGGGCTGGAGCTTTTTAAAGGTAGACGTACTGTGAGGCCGTGGGCATAAGCTAATAGCATGCTTTTGTTATTGAACGGTAGCTTTTGCAGAAGAATTGGCGCCATCGATGCTGAAACCTTTTCTGAATAGATTTTGTAGTGCTGTACTTTTTCCAATGATTATTGACCTTTTTATGACCCAATTCATCTTTACTGTACATGGGCCTCCACCCGACAATTGTTTTTAGGGGCATGTTTGATTTTGTTGTTCACCTACGTGTTTATTCATATCTTTTTTAGGTCTTAGTTTGTTTAGACTAGTCTTTCTGGTCTCCCATCCTGGCCAATCTCCTGCTCCGCTGATTTAGATGGTCAACCAGCTGGTCTTCCGGGCTTAAAAGTGGCCAAAAAATGTAAAACCAGCAAATAGACTGGAAATTTAGGATTTTTTTTTTTTTTTACATTATGAACTTCACATTTTCAGTTAAACAATCATGATATACCAGTACTAATATATTAGTGATATATATATTTTTTAATTGATCAGTTTTGGATATATCAGATATATACATCGAACACTGTTTTATGTAACAATTTCAAAATTAATAAAAATTTTTTTTTACTGTATTTCAATAATGCTGTGAAGCCTAAATTAATTTGAAGGGAATTTAAAATGATTTATTTATGATTTTTAGTGCTTTTATATTTATTTAGACAAAACGGTGTCAATAGAATGTTAATATTGGATGTTTATAGTCCATACATTTACTTATCAGCCAACTTTTTAATTTTTTTTAAAAATCAATTCATCCTTAGAACTAACTTTTGTATAATAAATTTAAAGAATAAAACTAATATTATTAATTTATATACAATATTGAATCTATAAAATGAATAGAATCACAATATAACAGACACTATATTTGAAGTCTTATAAATTGCAGAATATTTTATGAAATTAACATAATTTATAATAATAATAATAATAATCATCATCATCATTTTATTAATAATAATTAGGGTGATTGAGTTTCCAGTTTTCAGATATATTATAAATTGCAGAATAAGAAATTAACACACATTATTATCATCATCATCATTATTATTATTATAAACAATAATAATGACCTTAGACCAGTAATAAACTGTTATATTAATAACAAGTGGCAGAGGAAATGGGATAAATGCCACAGAAATTATGAAGACATAAATTCTAGAAAATAATTTCAAATAGGTTCTTTTTACTAGGTACCGTTTAGGTCATTCAAAATTCACATTATTTATTGAAAGGTGAAGAAACACCATCATGCCTTCATAACACTGTTGAACATATTTTGCTGGACTGCACTGTTTTATATGTTAATACGCAACATTTTCATTCAGAGATACTGTATGTATTTAACTTATTACTAAGTTATTTTAGAAGTTTTGTCTTGTATTTATCTTAAATGTCTTGTATAGCTTTTTGTTAATTGTATGACTCCTGTTATTCACTTTGTTCTCGCCATGAAGATGGTATTGGCATAAAAAAATAAAATAAACAATAATATTATTGTATATTATTATTATATTGTATATTATACAATAATAATCATTTTCATTATCAAATGATTGTGTATGATCCGAACTTGCATTTTTATACTCTTGTGTTTTGCACTTTATGGGTTATATAACGATTAATTCTGGTAGTTCTGTGTGAAACTAGTCATCATTAAAAAATGTAGTATGGATAATGTTGTCTGGTTATGGTCTGGTTCATAGCTGATACTCCCCCTCCTGTGGAGCCCATCGTTGTGCCAGGTTTGTCCTCAACCAGGTCTGCTGCATGGAGACTATAGTGCTTTAGAACACAGTCCAGTCTTGTTCACTTATGAGAACTGAAGGAATTCTCAGCATATGTAGTGGCTGGATAAAGAATGAATGAACCTTTATGCATGTGTGCACTCTGATGAAGACCTAAGTATGATGAGAAGACCAAAAGGCTTTGCATGGCTTGTCATTGATTTGAAGTGAAGCTGACGTCAGGAATGCACCTCTTGAAGTATCGTTTTCAGACAATGTCATGTGTTTGTGTTTGTGTTGGAATTGAATTTTTGCTGTCCAATCTTTCCATATTTTTTACTTTCAGATTAAGGTACCGGATTTTTTTTTTTTGGCTATTCAGACTATAAAAACTAAAAAGATTTTGTTAAAAGCGGATTTTCGCTGCCCGTGTGAACAAAGCCTATCCTCTTGAAATGGCAGGTCTAGCATGGCAAGGCAATGATGAGCTTGAATTGAATCATTGAAACATCTTTCAACAAAGCATCATGTACAGTTTTTCTTGGATCCCTGCATTGCATTAAGTACAGTGCATCACAGATTTTTATATGTCTGTCTCTGCCACCTCAGTGATTCCCGTTCCCAGAGAATGCTTGTCTGGCGACTTCAGATGTCAGGATGGGCTGGCGTGTATCCCTAGGGAGTATGTGTGTGACAAACGGCCTGACTGCGATGACTTCAGTGATGAAATTAACTGTGGTGAGGGAGATTGCGTCCTCAGTTGTCTCAGAAATTAGTGGCATTGCTTTGTTAATTTAACTGACTAACCAAGTAAATGCACTTTGATAAGTCTTAATATATCTTTTTCAGAAAAATATACAATTTTATTTTATTTTACGGCAGTTAAACATATTAATTTAATACATTGCATAGGATCTTGTTTTTTTTTTTAATGCATGCTTTACAATGCTTGACATCATAATGGCTTCAAATGTGCTTTGTGTTTGTAATTGATTGACAGTCCTAATTATCTCATTTATTTTCAAAGCTGTTGTTCCTGTACGCCCTACTCCACCTACGCCTCCTAAAACCAGACCCCCACCTGGCCTGGGACCCTGCCGTGCAGACCAGGCCACCTGTCAGAATGGACAGTGTATCTCACGGGACTATGTTTGCGATGGCGAAACAGACTGCGCTGATGGCAGCGATGAGTTCAATTGTGGTAGGACAAGCGGCAGTATGCTGTAACCATTTCATTTACCATAGAATTAAAACCACTTTATAATCAAGCACATTATGCTGGCGATATTAGTCTGTTCTCTGCATTTATTATACAACTATATTTTTAATTACAAAGGAACTCCATCTCCCTGTGAACCCAATGAGTTTAAGTGTCAGAACGGCCGTTGTGCCCTGAAACTGTGGCGTTGTGATGGGGATAATGACTGTCAAGACAACTCAGATGAGATGAACTGCCGTAAGTCAGAACTGAGCTTCCATCCACAGATTGTTTGGAAACCTGGAGTTCAGTTTGTTGCCACTAGAGGCACAGAAATGACACACTTTGCTAATAACTGATTGTTGTTTCTCATTCCTTCAGCCACTAAAGATCCAGGGGACACATGTGCCCCGGAGCAGTTTGTGTGTTTGTCTGACCGCACATGCATTCCTGCCAGTTACCAGTGTGACGAGGAGCCGGACTGTGCCGACCGCTCTGATGAATACGGTTGTGGTAAGGCATTAGAATCCTATTAATCTTTAACAAGTAAACATTGGTTGTCATACCGTTCCAAACACTGTAACTCTTTTGTCTCCACTTTTCTTTCACTGTCACACTCACTTTGACTTACTAACAGTAATGCTTCTTCTAAAACCTGAAAATTGTGTATTTATGGTCAGCAAAGAAAGATTAATGTTGTGCCGCACTCATACAGCTTTTCAATAACATCTAGATCTCATCTCCCATATACAGTATCTTGTGCTTGTAGCTTATTTAACAGTCGGCTTTGGTGTTGTTTCTGCCAACAGTGCCTCCGGCTTTGGTTGGCTAATCTCACTGAATGAATCTGCCAAATAAAACTTGTGCTGTCACATGCTGCCAATTTAGAATCAAAGACTTGCTGCGTGTGTGTGGTTTCTTTTGTCCATATGTCTCTTTTACTGTTAGCATTCATATAATACAGTTATATATGTGGATTGTAATCGATTGTACTGTAAAATGAGTATACTATATGTTTTCTTTTATTGTACCCTAGCACCTCCCACTGTGACCGTCCCGCCGGAAGAGTCCATCACGGTAGCGCGGGGCGACACTGTGACCTTTACTTGTTCTGCCATTGGTGTACCTGTTCCCATCATCACATGGCGTCTTAATTGGGGACACATACCAACCAGTAACAGGTAGGTTAGGATGTCATAAGCATTGTGGATTAAAAACTCTGAAATGATCAAGATGTCCACAATCTGGGTTAAAGTCATACAGTCCATATTCTCTTAAAGACTGAATAAATGCAAAGTAATGAATACTTGGGGTTTCATCCATTCCTATTGTATTCCCAGAGCTCCATTTGCTGAACTCTATAAATAATTAAATGAATAACTTTAGCACTAGTCTAAATGAAAACAGAGGGCCATACTTCATGTACTCAGTAAGAAACAGGTTTTCTTTTTTGGCAAAAAGGTTGTGAACTATCTCTTTTCCAATTATTGAATCTCAAAGGAGTTCTTCTAAAGTTGCTTCTTTGCCATTATTATTTGTCATAATACTTAATGGACATTATTAATATATAACCAGAGAGCTGTATTTAATTTGCTCCTCAGCACGTGCTCTCCTTCTGTATAATCATTTCTAGGCTATTGTAGGTTTTTTTTCCTGTCAGATGTGATTTTTTAAGATTTTTTTTAAATCATTAAAATTAAAAGTTTTTGTATTTTGTCTTTCATTACCAATTCAAATTTTTTTACATTTTTTTTTTTAGTTTCTATCATATTTTTCTACATGGACTAATAAGTATACAGATAGCAGACCCATTTGTTACAAGTTACATTTCTACAAGGTTATTAAATTAACAAGACCCAAATAATTTCAAATAAAAATAGTAAAATAAAATGGGAGGGCCTGGCTGGGCTCTCAAAACCGCCCTAATTTAAACATGATTCTATTGACAGAATCACAATGGCCAATGAGAATGGGCGAGGAACGATCACCATCCGCGACGTGAAGGAAGGTGACCAGGGTGCGTACACCTGCGAGGCCATCAACGCTAAAGGCCTTGTGTTTGCCATTCCTGACGGGGTCCTCAGCCTGTCTCAGAGACCAAACCCAGGTACTGCATCAGCTCCATATGGTGCGAACATATTTGGATTACTATGTGTTCTGTATTATGTTTGTTCTCGATTGATACTTTCTTTCCGAAGAGACTATGGATGTCATCTTTTATTTGCGAGACACAGGTTATCCTGCTGTTCTTTGACCACATGCCGTGACATTGTTGTCTCGTGACTGTGAGGCAGCTCAAACCTGACGGTGGTGGTCTTACTATCCTTTGTCTTCCATGTCGTTCTTGTCCAGTTGTGTCATCCTCTCTGTACGTGTTAGCAGGTAACTGCCGTGATGGACATTTTAGCGTGGGCGATCACTGCATGCCATGCTTCTGTTTTGGCATCACAAAGCACTGTCAGAGCACCGGTCGCTACCGCAGCCAAATCACACTGCGCTTCACAGAGGAAGAGGACTTCAAAGGTACTCAACTGATTAAAAATTCAGATTTTTGCATTTATGTTTATGGATTTACAGTTGGAGAATGTAGTTGTTGTGGCAACTGTTGGTGTCATCTTATGTGTAACTCATGATAATTATCACTAACCCTATAAAGCCAGACATTGAATCAGTCAGATTTTTTATTTACCTTCGGACATAATATATAAAAATATGCATATGTTTTTTTGTTGAATGTCATTCTAGCTCAAGGAGGGAAAAAAGCCATTTTTTGTTCAGAGGCCTAAACTAAATTATAATTTTATAAGGCCAAAAAATAAGGTGAAATTCAGTTAACTTCTAATGTAAATCAATGAGATTTTTTAAAACTGTAGCCTTCTAACTGTAAACTTAGATGAAATGCATTAAGAATATCAATGGTCACTCTGTATTTCTGTTTAAGTTGTGGGGAACAAAACATATCTAAAACGAACATAATGCAAATGAACAAATGTTCATCAAAAACCTGATACATCACATTTGATACTCACAATTTAGCAAAATTTTTCAAAGTTGTTTCAGTCCAGCAAGTCTTCATCTTGAAATATTGCTAACAATATAAAGGACATTCTTATATTTACTTTATAAAAAAATGTTACCAGTCTGCAAAAGGCATGTAGTATATTATGTTCAACTAATTTTTTTGTGAAGTTTAGATCATGTTGATAATTTAGAGACCCTCATGTTGTTCCAAACCCGAAAGACCTTGGTTCATCTTTGGAACACAAATTAAGATATTTTTGATGAAATCCGAGAGTGTATGACCATGCATAGACAGCAACACAACTGACATGTTTAAGACCCAGAAACGTAGTAAGAACTTGTGTCGAAGTCTGACACGGAAGAGAAGAAATTGTTGAATAAAGTCATTATTTTAGTTTTCTTTGCGCACAAAGTATTCTCGTAGCTTCATAAAATTATGGTTGAACCACTGATGTCACATGGACTATTTTAACAATGTACTTACTACCTTTCTGGGCCTTCAACATGGTAGTTGCGTTGCTGTCTATGCAGGGTCAGAAAGCTCTCAGATTTCATCAAAAATATCTTAATTTGTGTTCCGAAGATGAACGAAGGTCTTGCATGTTTGGAACAACATGAGGGTAAGTCGCTAATGACAGAATTTTCCATTTTGGGTGAACTACCTCTTTAAAGGAACAATTACACTGGTATTGAAAATATAATACACTACCTTTTTCTGTTTGTCTCTGTCTATCTATCTTTTTATCCACAGGAGTCAATGTGTCATTTCCTAGTCGTCCAGGCACCCAACCACCTCTCTCCTCCACTCAGATGTTGATCAATCCAGAGAGTGAGGAGTTCCAGCTAGTGGATCTGTCTCGCCGTTTCCTTGATCAAGACTCCTATTGGACTCTGCCTCGCCAGTTCCTGGGCAACAAGGTTTCTCTCCCCTCCTCACTACTCTACTGAACAAATATAGATAGGAGGTCAATAAAACATTGACTAATCCGTATCTTCCTGGTTTTGCTCAATCCCATTTCCATCTTCTCCTTATCATTTGCTGTCTCTTCTCTCACTGTCACTGTGATGTGGTAGCTAGATTGTCTTGGGAAGCATGTGTGAAATATGTATTGAAGCTCTTCGACGTCTTGGTATTCTGGACACTGTGTCTGTGTTGTACAGGTTGACTTGTATGGAGGTTATCTGAATTTTAAAGTGAGTTACTCACTGCAGCGAGGTGGATCGGAATTAAAGGAGAAACCTGATGTTGTGCTGAGCGGCAACGGGCAGAAATATATTTACCGCAGAGGCGACCCCACTTTACCTGACACAATCAACCATAGAGAGATCAAGTTTACAGAGGTGAGCCACATATGTGAAATGCATAAGTATATAAAATATATTTTTATAAGATATATGCACACTATCATTCAAAGATGTGACAGTTTTTTGTTTTTGAAAGAAGACTCTTTTGCTCACCAAGGTTACATTTATTTGATAAAAATACAGTAAAACATTAATATTGTTAAACATCATTATTACAATGTAAAATAACTGCTTTCTAATTTAAAATATTATAATGTAATTTATTCCTGTGATATTAAAGCTGAATTTTCAGCTGCCATTACACCAGTCTTCAGTGTCACATGATCCTTCAGTAATCATTCTAATATGCTGATTTGCTGCTCAAGAAATGTTTCCTATTATTAATATTACAGTTGAAAATGGCTTAATTTTTGTGGAAACTGTGACACTATTTTTCCCAAGATTATTTAAGTAGAAAGGTCAAAAGAACAGCATTTATATGAAATGGAACACTTTAGTAATATTAAAAATGTCTTTAGTGTCACTTTTTTTTATCATTAATAAAAAAAAAAAAAATTACCTACCCCAGAATTTTGAACTGTATTGCGTATATAATTTTTATTTGAATTTTATTTTGTTTTTATTTTGTATTGTAATTAACAGTTATGCTTTGAAGTACTGAGAAAAAAACTTGAAGTCATAACCATGGCATACACTTGCTGTTGACAAGAGATGCTGACAGTACAGACAGAAAAATTTGCAGTATTGCCAGCTCTACACTGCTAAAACATTTGTGTAAGACTGACAAATAAAACTGTATTAATACCATGTACCATAAAAAACAAACAAATAGTGATTCTTAAAAGATAATCGTTTTGCAGCAGTGTTGCTTGTTAGTGTTATTCACCTCTCTGTCTCTGTGTCTCAGGAAAACTGGCAGCACTCTTCAGGACGAGCAGTAACTCGTGATGACCTCATGATGACCTTGGCCAATTTGGAGAGCATCCACATTCGCACCATTTATGACAACCGCATGGCCAGTGTCGGTCTGAGTGACATCAGCATGGATACCACCAGCAAAGAATTCACCCTGCAGGAGAACCCGAGAGACGTGGAGGAGTGCAGGTTAGTGTGCCTTTAAATCAACAGATAGGATTACAGGCCTGTCAGAACATATCAAGCTCCTCTTAAATCACCTCTTTTTTGTCACTTTAAAAATTCTGTGTGAAAGTGTTAATCTGTGCGAATTGTTGATCTCAAACAGATGTCCTGCTGGGTATTCAGGCCTGTCTTGTGAGTCCTGCTCCCCTGGTTTCGAGCGGGTACCTGGACCCTACCTGGGCATCTGTGCTGGCTGCAACTGCAATGGTCATGCCAGTGCCTGTGACCCTATTAGTGGACACTGCCTGGTAAGAATGTGTTTTTATAAATATGTCGATAACTTATACACTGCATCAGTAGTTTACTGAATGTCACACACAAATGTCATGTGACAGAGTTGTCAGCATAACACAGAAGGACCTCAGTGTGACAAATGCAAGCCTGGCTTCTTCGGTGACCCAAGTCGAGGACGATATGATGACTGCAAACCCTGTCCTTGTCCATACACAGAGACTTCTCGACGGTAAAGATATCATACCTTTGTACATAATATAAAAATTATCTAAAATAATATGTAATAATAGAATAATGTTGTTCTGAAAATGAGCTTTATCTTTTTTTTTTATTATTTAACATGATATAATCTAAATGATTTATAATAATAATAATTTAATTCTGAAAATAATAATTTACATTATTTATTTTTTTTACTTATGATTATATATTATTAGTATTAATAATAGTAATAGTAATTTAGATTATTTGAATGGAACTTTGACAAAACATCTTTGTGAAATGTTAAACTGGTCTGTTGATTTGTTCAAAGGCTTTCAGATACTTGCTTCCTGGACCATGACAACCAGGCAACATGTGACGCCTGCAGACCCGGTTACACAGGGCGACGTTGTGACAATGAGAATGGGCGAGGAACGATCACCATCCGCGACGTGAAGGAAGGTGACCAGGGTGCGTACACCTGCGAGGCCATCAACGCTAAAGGCCTTGTGTTTGCCATTCCTGACGGGGTCCTCAGCCTGTCTCAGAGACCAAACCCAGGTACTGCATCAGCTCCATATGGTGCGAACATATTTGGATTACTATGTGTTCTGTATTATGTTTGTTCTCGATTGATACTTTCTTTCCGAAGAGACTATGGATGTCATCTTTTATTTGCGAGACACAGGTTATCCTGCTGTTCTTTGACCACATGCCGTGACATTGTTGTCTCGTGACTGTGAGGCAGCTCAAACCTGACGGTGGTGGTCTTACTATCCTTTGTCTTCCATGTCGTTCTTGTCCAGTTGTGTCATCCTCTCTGTACGTGTTAGCAGGTAACTGCCGTGATGGACATTTTAGCGTGGGCGATCACTGCATGCCATGCTTCTGTTTTGGCATCACAAAGCACTGTCAGAGCACCGGTCGCTACCGCAGCCAAATCACACTGCGCTTCACAGAGGAAGAGGACTTCAAAGGTACTCAACTGATTAAAAATTCAGATTTTTGCATTTATGTTTATGGATTTACAGTTGGAGAATGTAGTTGTTGTGGCAACTGTTGGTGTCATCTTATGTGTAACTCATGATAATTATCACTAACCCTATAAAGCCAGACATTGAATCAGTCAGATTTTTTATTTACCTTCGGACATAATATATAAAAATATGCATATATTTTTTTGTTGAATGTCATTCTAGCTCAAGGAGGGAAAAAAGCCATTTTTTGTTCAGAGGCCTAAACTAAATTATAATTTTATAAGGCCAAAAAATAAGGTGAAATTCAGTTAACTTCTAATGTAAATCAATGAGATTTTTTAAAACTGTAGCCTTCTAACTGTAAACTTAGATGAAATGCATTAAGAATATCAATGGTCACTCTGTATTTCTGTTTAAGTTGTGGGGAACAAAACATATCTAAAACGAACATAATGCAAATGAACAAATGTTCATCAAAAACCTGATACATCACATTTGATACTCACAATTTAGCAAAATTTTTCAAAGTTGTTTCAGTCCAGCAAGTCTTCATCTTGAAATATTGCTAACAATATAAAGGACATTCTTATATTTACTTTATAAAAAAATGTTACCAGTCTGCAAAAGGCATGTAGTATATTATGTTCAACTAATTTTTTTGTGAAGTTTAGATCATGTTGATAATTTAGAGACCCTCATGTTGTTCCAAACCCGAAAGACCTTGGTTCATCTTTGGAACACAAATTAAGATATTTTTGATGAAATCCGAGAGTGTATGACCATGCATAGACAGCAACACAACTGACATGTTTAAGACCCAGAAACGTAGTAAGAACTTGTGTCGAAGTCTGACACGGAAGAGAAGAAATTGTTGAATAAAGTCATTATTTTAGTTTTCTTTGCGCACAAAGTATTCTCGTAGCTTCATAAAATTATGGTTGAACCACTGATGTCACATGGACTATTTTAACAATGTACTTACTACCTTTCTGGGCCTTCAACATGGTAGTTGCGTTGCTGTCTATGCAGGGTCAGAAAGCTCTCAGATTTCATCAAAAATATCTTAATTTGTGTTCCGAAGATGAACGAAGGTCTTGCATGTTTGGAACAACATGAGGGTAAGTCGCTAATGACAGAATTTTCCATTTTGGGTGAACTACCTCTTTAAAGGAACAATTACACTGGTATTGAAAATATAATACACTACCTTTTTCTGTTTGTCTCTGTCTATCTATCTTTTTATCCACAGGAGTCAATGTGTCATTTCCTAGTCGTCCAGGCACCCAACCACCTCTCTCCTCCACTCAGATGTTGATCAATCCAGAGAGTGAGGAGTTCCAGCTAGTGGATCTGTCTCGCCGTTTCCTTGATCAAGACTCCTATTGGACTCTGCCTCGCCAGTTCCTGGGCAACAAGGTTTCTCTCCCCTCCACAATACTCAACTGAACAAATGTAGATAGGAGCTCAATAAAACATTGAGTAATCCGTATCTTCCTGTTTTCGTGCAATCCCATTTCCATCTTCTCCCTATCATTAGCTGTCTCTTCTCTCTCTGTCACTGTGAATATTCAAATGTGGTAGCTTGATTGTCTTTGAAAGCTTGGGAAGCTTCAGTATCTTGGTATTCTGGACACTGTGTCTGTGTTGTACAGGTTGACTTGTATGGAGGTTATCTGAATTTTAAAGTGAGTTACTCACTGCAGCGAGGTGGATCGGAATTAAAGGAGAAACCTGATGTTGTGCTGAGCGGCAACGGGCAGAAATTTATTTACCGTAGAGGCGACCCCACTTTACCTGACACAATCAACCGTAGACGGATCAAGTTTACAGAGGTAAGCCACATATGTGAAATGCTTAAATATATAACATTTATTTTACATACTACTGTTCAAAGGTTTGGATTCTTTTTATGTCTTTGAAAAAAGACTCTTCTGCTCACCAAGGCTAATAAAGTAAAGCATTAATATTGTGAAATTTTGTTAGAGTTTCAAATAACTGTTGTATTTTAAAATATTTGTAAATGTAATTTATTCATGTGACGGCAAAGCTGAATTTTCAGTATCATTGTGCCAGGGTCACATGGGAAATCTTTCTAATATGCTGATTTGTTGCCCAAGCAGCATTTCCTATTATTATTATTATTATTACAGTTGAAAACAGCTTAATATTTTTGTCTTTAGTTAATCATGTCTTTAGTGTAACTTTTTGTTGCAACAAAAATGTGTTGTTGCTTTTTAAAAAAAACACTTGCTGACCCCAGAGCAGACATTTGAGTAGTAGTGTGTACATAATTTTTATTAAAAATTTTATTTTAAAATGTTTTTTTTTTCAGAATTCTTCATTTTAAACTTGAAGTAATAAACTTATGCTTTGAAGTACTGAGAAAAACAAACAAACGTTGTCATAACCATGGCATACACTTGCTCATATAAGAGCTGTCAACAGAATACAGGGTTATTTAATATTATCTAAAAATAATAAAGCAAATAAAATCTCAAAGTTTTGTGTAAAATTGTAATGAATTTGCAGTATTGTCAGCTCTACACTGCTAAAACATCGGTGTAAGACTGAAGTATAAAACTGTATTAATACCATATACCAAAAAAATCATTATTTAAAATGGTGAAATGTTATTTTTGTTTAAAGTAGTTTTGCAGCAGTATTTCTTGTTAGTGTTATGTGAGGTGGTTCACCTCTCCGTTTCTGTGTCTCAGGAAAACTGGCAGCACTCCTCAGGACGAACCGCAACTCGTGATGACCTCATGATGACCTTGGCCAATTTGGAGAGCATCCACATTCGCACCATTTATGACAACCGCATGGCCAGTGTGGGCCTGAGTGACATCAGCATGGAGACCACCACCAAAGAGTTCACACAGCAGGGGAACCCGCGAGACGTGGAGGAGTGCAGGTTAGTGTGCCTTTATATAAAAATATATAAATATGAAAATAAAAAGCTCCTCTCAAATCACCTCTCGCAATTTTGCATGTTCTGTGGACACTAAGAGTAATTCAGAGTAAGTCAAATGTTTTTTAGTCCAGATGCTGATTTTGTTGTTGATGTTTTTTGAGAATTCTGTGTGGAAAGTGTTAATCTGTGCCAATTGTTGATCTCACACAGATGTCCTACTGGGTATTCAGGCCTGTCTTGTGAGTCCTGCTCCCCTGGTTTCGAGCGGGTACCTGGACCCTACCTGGGCATCTGTGCTGGCTGCAACTGCAATGGTCATGCCAGTGCCTGTGACCCTATTAGTGGACACTGCCTGGTAAGAATGTGTTTTTATAAATATGTCGATAACTTATACACTGCATCAGTAGTTTACTGAATGTCACACACAAATGTCATGTGACAGAGTTGTCAGCATAACACAGAAGGACCTCAGTGTGACAAATGCAAACCTGGCTACTTTGGTGACCCAAGTCGAGGAAGATATGATGACTGCAAACCCTGTCCTTGTCCATACACAGAGACGTCTCGACGGTAAAGATCTAAAACCTGTATAATATAATATAATATAATTAAAATTAGTAATAGTAAATAGTAATAAAAAAATTTTGAATGGAATTTTGACAAAATAACAAAATGTTGATGTGTTTAAAGGTTTTCTGATACTTGCTTCCTGGACCATGACAACCAGGCAACATGTGATGCTTGCAGACCTGGTTATACAGGGCGACGTTGTGAGAAGTAATGTTGCAGCTCGTTTGCATATACTTGTTGTTTTTAACACTACATTTTGTGGTGCTGAGTGCATGTATATAAGAAATATGTCATCATCTGTCTTTTTTTTTTGCCACAGATGTGCTCCAGGATATGTCGGCAACCCTCTTCAGCCCAACGGCCAATGTATCCCTGCTGCTAGCCGTGAGCATTTTTCCTTTATTTTTGTTTACAGTTGTGATAGTAAATGATTTATTCGATTAATATTAGCTGCAAGATTTATTTGTTTGCCTTAAGCTATTTCTTTTCTTGGAATTTCTGCCTCATTTTACCCTGAAGGTCAAGTGAAGATTTAGATAATGATTAACACTCAGTGCACTGCATGCTGGAATGCCAGCTGTTTGTGACCAGGATGTTCAAAGCATTCAGGTGCATTTGTCAACCATATGGTGTTCTTATCCCTGTTCAGCGATTACCAAGTGTGATAACAGAGGAACCATCAATCCCATCAGCAAACCATGCTATTGCAAGGTATTAAATTGCACTACAGATACTCTCTTTTTTAATACACCACCATTAATAAGTTTGGGATCGGAAAGTCTCTTAAGCAGCATTTATTTGATCAAAAATTTATATACGTTTTTTTAAAGTTATATATATATATAAGTTTAATTTATAACAGCTGTTTTCTATTATTTCTGTTATTATTTTAAAATGTAATTTATTCCTGTGATGGCAAAGCTGAATTTTCCACATCCATTTCTCCAGTCATCAGTGTCACACGATTCTTCGGAAATCATTCTAATATGCTGATTTGCTGCTCAAGAAACATTATTAACAGTGTTGAAAACATACATCATATAAATGTTCAAACAGTGTTTGCTCTTCTGTTGTGCAGGCCAATGTGGTTGGTGCTCTTTGCGATGAGTGTAAGAATGGTGCTTTTAATTTGGCGGCTGATAATCCTGAAGGTTGCTTGCAGTGTTTCTGTATGGGAGTGACTAAACAGTGTGCCAGTTCAACCTGGAGCAGAGATCAGGTAACCGCATCCTCTAATCTTTTCATAGTTGTACCTTTAAAATAGATGTTTGAATGTTTTTTGCTTATATTTGTTGGTTATTCTGAAGGTTCGAGGTGGTGTCAATGGCCAGCTCTTCACACTTTCCAATGCAGCAAATACTAGGACCATCTCTGAGGGCATCACTCAGAGAGCCAGTGCAGAGGTGGTCTACCGATCCTTCACCAGTATCCCTAATGACATCTACTACTGGGTCCTGCCTCAGAGTTTTAGAGGGGACAAGGTGAGAACATCCTGTGCGGTACAATGCCATATTTACAATTTGGCCTTTGTCAGGTTATATAGCACATGTCAGTGTGCTGCTTTTTAAAACATGTTTTCCTGTCCTGCGTAAAGGTCACAGCATATGGTGGAGAACTGCAGTACAGGATGCATTATGAGCTGCAAGCTCTTTCACTAGTGCTTGATGGACAACCAAATGTGGTTCTCCAAGGCAACAACATCTTCCTGGAACATTATTCTCAGACCAGAACATTTGCTGGAAAACCAGCCACCATCACTGTGCCTTTTAGAGAGGTGTGTTGCAAATATATGTATTTTTAATTGTATATGTATCTATTTATCTTCTCTTTATTATGTGGTCCAAAGGAATTAAATTTTAAATATAAGTTACATTTTTGGGTGCTGTATGTATACATTATAAAAATAATAATTCCTTTGTTTATATTCATAAAAATACATTTCATATTTCAAATAAATTAATTTGTCATCATCTTAACCATAATACATTCATATTTCACATAAATTTTGTATTTTAAATAAATAATTATACAAATAATAATAAGAATATTATCTTAATTTTTTTTAATAATAATAATTTTTTTTTATAATAATTTTTTTTTAAAGGCCATAAGGTGAAACTTGATCTAACTTGATTTGCTATATGAGTTTTCATTGCCTGTGATCCCCCCAGTCTGCATGGAGACGGTCGGATGGACAGCCATGTACTAGAGAGCACCTGCTGATGGCTTTGGCCAATATCAGCGTCTTTATGATCAGAGCCACTTATGCATACAATATGGCTGAGAGCAGGTAACTTTGCACTTTTAGTTTTGCTCTTGCTCATTTATTATACATTGACTTTTGATGTCCTTTATATATGCATCCTCTAGATGGTGTCACATTGTCCTGTTAGGTTCCTATCTGTCGCTTAACTGATTTTGTGAACAGGATATTAGTGTTTAATCTCAATCTGTCCTGTTCAGTATCTCCAATATACAAATGGACATTGCAGTGCCCCACTCTACAGGAAATGAAAGGGCTCTGGAGGTGGAGGAGTGTGCCTGCCCTCAAGGATACACAGGACCTTCTTGCCAGGTATATTGCTTTAACTTTAAATAGCAACACTCTGTCTGTGTGAACTTGTGTCAGCCTGAGTTGATGCAAAAACCTTCCCCTAAAGCAGAGGTTCTGCCTGTCAAGTAAATAACAGCCTTTTATTTATTTTTATTGATCTCTAAATGGAAGTTCTTAGCAACTCATGGAACATTTTATCTCTAAAGTCAATGAAGAGAATGGATGCAGAGTTTCATCCATAGAGACCTGTGAACCCAGCCACCTCTGACTCACTCATTGTTTGCAGGACTGTGATGTTGGCTACACCCGTACACCTGGACTTTATCTTGGCACCTGTGAGAAGTGTGACTGCCATGGGCATGCCAGCGGCTGTGAGTCAGAGACTGGAGATTGCCTGGTGAGTTAACCTTTCCATTGCAGTGATTATGCTGTTCCTGGATGATTTATGGAGTTTGTATGAAGTAAGGATGTGCAAAACAACATATATTCAAAATCTCCTAGTTGGTCAGTTGACTTTTCTAGTTTACTAGTCAGTTGTAACTGGAAGCCCTGCATAATTAGGCTGGATTTGGGTTCATCTGACCCCAGTTGGACTTGTTTCTTAGCAGGGGGGTTGTTCAGAAACAGTTAAAGAAAGCATATCTAACAAAAAAAAAAGTCAACCTCACTTATTCACTAGTCAATTATTGAATGACAAGTCAACTAGTTGACCACTGTGAAAATAAAAGCAATAAGAATATAAAAGAAATGAACCCCCATAAACTATGCAACCTCTGTAATTTACAAGTCGGATGACTGGTCGTTTATTAAGAATAAAATCAAAACCAAAAATGTACACATAATATAAAATTTACATAAAACAGTTGACCTTATTGATTATTGATTGTTTTTACTAAAATGTTTCTACAATTAATTGATCCATAATCCAATAACTGACTAGTTGACCACTGTGAAAAACTAAATCAAAGTTATAAGTATACAGTAAAAGAAAAAACTCCATAAACTTAGTCAACCTCAATAATTAACGAGTTGGTTATTGCATGACTGGTTCACTAGTTGACCATTGTGGGAAAATAAAATCAATGCTAATATTATATAAAATGATCTTCATAAACTATTCATCCTCAGTAATTTCAGTAATTAGTCAGTTATCGGATTACTGGTTGACTATCATGACTAAAATCAAAACAAATCAATGCTATCTAACTCATCAAACTGATCAGCCTGAATAATGAAATAGTCGGTTATTGGATAAATGGTTGACTATTCAACTATGATGAATAAAATTAAAGACCAAAAAATGTATATGAATAAAATGTATATGAATAAAAAAAACATAAATTCCTTATTAATCAACTAGTCTGTTATTGAATCACTTGTCAAGAAAGTCTTTATTACCAAAGTATATAAGAAAAATACACTATCCTGACTAGTTGAACCATTCCTAATCTGGAGTAATTTATGACACTTTCCCTTTTTCCCTGTTTTAGAATTGCCTGCATAACACAGTTGGGCGCCGTTGTGAAAATTGCCTCCCTGGTTTCTATGGAAATCCAAAGACTGGTGATCCACAGGCATGTAGACCCTGTCCTTGTCTAGGACACTCCAGTAGCCAGTGAGTTTGCCTTTATCTATCAACTTTATCGAAGACATTTTTTTTTTCAAATAACGAGGCTATTCTTTAGGCATAACCTATAATTCATATTCATCCAATCTAATAATTTTCTTCTTCCGAAGGCCTTCATCTTGTTACTTGGACTCAGATGGACAGCCCACATGTGAATGTCCTGCTGGTTATACTGGAAGACGCTGTGAAAGGTAAGTGTCTATGGTCCAATGAGGGGGTAAACCTCCCATTCAGAAAAGCTGGGCTGGCCAAACTGGTGATTGGCATTCTTTTTCTACTGCCAGAAAGCATGTGTCTGTTGCTTTCCAGCATCTCTTCAACCATTTGTGATTGAATGGCATTTGTCTGGTGGTATGGGAGAAGCAAGCCTTGAATCAGTGCAACCCATACCAAGTGTCGATGTCTGAAGGCTTTTTTGGAGGAGTTTATAAGTGGAAGCAGTGGTGATTAAAATATTAATGTATTGTATATCTAAAAAAGGCACCTTTATCAAGCATAAAGGTTTCACTTCTCTACTGAGAGAGTAAAGTTTCCTTCTTACTGTCAGCAAGGCTGAGATGTCTTTTTGAAGGTGTTGAAGTAATTAGTTGCATAATGTCACTTATTTTAATGCTTCAGTGCATCTTTGTAAAGCCTTTGCTGCATTTTGAGCAACTTTTTCTTATTTCAAACTCTTCTTCTAGACATTTGTGGGTCTTCTAGGGTTGTTTTGCTTCCCATACTGAAGCATAAACAAGTTGATGACATGGATTTGGGATCCTTGTCACTTGCTCAGAGGGTAAAAGCTTTTGGGTGTCTGGGATAAAAAACACATTTCTTATATTTAAAAAGAAATTTGGTTCCAACTTGCCCTGTCTCATCATGGCTCTCAGCATTTCCAACTGCGGAGACTTTTACCTTGAAGGATCTAAAGGTTTCCTCCCCACTACATGTGATGATGCTTTCTACTTCAGCCCTGGGAAGAAGCAAGTTCTGGATACAACTGACCATGACATTGAAGAAAACTTTGATAGTAGAGAAGATAGTAGCTTTTCAGGACCTGAAAGAACTACAAGATCTTTGCTGTCAACAACTATACATACTTTAAGTCACCGTTGGACTCGTGAGCCACTGCGTTACACACCAAGTCCTGAGGCGCGACAGCAGAGCTTCCAGCTGCTCTTGAGGATGCACATGAATCGCTTCAACCAACGCCTTAGTATGCTTGAGAGCAACACACTGGACATGAAAGACAGCTTCGAGAACATAAGGAAGCAGCACAGTCGCTTCAGCTCTCAACTGAAGACACTAACCAGTGTTTTGTCTCCAAATGACCAGAAAGACAGAATTAATAAGTTGGCCAACAAATACACAGACATTAATACAAGACTAAGTAAACTAGAACACAAACTTGAGATACTAATTGATGGCTTCACTACCCTAGCGCAAGAGTTAGACAAAGTCAAACGTGCACGTCATGTGGCACGTCCACCACAGGATCGCAGAGAAACCGCTGTGGTTGCTACCACCCCGATTCCAGCCTTGACTACAGCTTGGATTACTCGCTTTTCTACCAGCGGATTTCAGAAGAGAACTATTATTCCCAAAACCCTGCCAACTCCTCGTACTATCTCCACAACCAGCTTTGCATCTGGCCGTTCCCAGATGAATGAAAGTTCAACTAAGAGGCAAGCAAAGTTCTCAACTAAAAAGATCCAACCAATATCAACAAGAAGAGACATTAAAACCAATTTCACATCAAAGGCAGACAACAAATATCATAGTAAATCTGCTAGGAGATCAACAGTTCCCAAAGTTATTGTCAGCCGTCCCCTTACTACATCCTCTGAAAGGACTTCAACCTTGGTCACCTCCAATGAAACGCAACAGAATCAACAAAAAAGAAAGGCACCAACTGAAGTTTCCCTAACTCCTCAAAAACACCACAAAAGTGGTCCAAAAGTAAATGGTAAGTCTCAAAAAGCTACAAGGAATCATGACCAACTATCCCGTTCACCTACAAAGCCACAAGTAAAAGAAGAATCTGCAACTAAATTTCAGATTCCTTCTCCATCGCATACAAAAATCGCAGCTAAATCTTCCAAGTCATCAAGCAAACCACAAAAAGGGGCACATATTCCTTCAAAAAAATCATCCAAATCTATGAAAACACAAAGAAATTATTTGCAAGTAAGACCATCCAAAAAACCCACAAACATCAGCAAACCTTCTCACAACGTCCAAACAAAGACAAGACATTCCAAGACGAAGTCCTCTAGGCAAAATCAATTAGTTCCTTCTCATGAAGCAAGAGGTGCATCAGACTTAAGGTCCAGCCAAGCTGAGGAGTCTACCTACACAACTGCTTCTAGTAAATCAACTGACAAGAAAAGATTACACTCCCCTAAACCCAAAGTAAAAATAACTACTCCAAGAAAGTCAACTCGGCGCAACACATCTAAAACCATTAATATTTTAGACCTCTTCATGAAGAGCAACAGGGGCCAAAAAACATTAACAAGATCTATGCTGAAGAACCTTCATATTGTTCTTGGAAGACTGGCAATTCCCATCAAAATCATTCCTGATTACTAGACGTATACTAGACATATATTAATTACTGTATCATTTAAAATTTTCATTGGACCTGTTTTTTCCTCTTTTATTCCCATAGGAACTATTCAAAATGTATTGAATGTTGAGGCTTGAGGTTTGAACACAAACTATGATGCAGAAGTGGTATTACATATCATAATTTTTATAATCCAAGCATGTTGTAAACTAGGCATGTGGTACTTTGCATTTTTATTTAATAATCTGATCCATTCCTGATGTTTTCAGCAGAATTATGGAAATAAAGTTTAATAATATTATGTGATGTCTTGGTTGCAGTCAGACATTGTTGTACATTTATATACAATTGTATTCGTCTTTATTTATCCACACTGCCTGCTCATCTTATTGTCTTATTAAGTTTGTGAACTCAGTCAACATAGAACCTCAGTTTGGCCAAATATGTAAAAAATTATGTATTTTCAGCAGTATACGTTTAAAAGGTTTGTTGAAGTATTAGTGTAGTGTATTGTATTTGATTGTATTGTATTGTATTAGTGTATAATGTATTAGTCTGGACTACCTTGGAACCTCGATTTACCAGGTAAGACTTTCTTTCAAGTTCCTCAGCTTCCACAAGCTTGGGGATACGGTGGTTTTACACTCTTAGACACTTTGATTGGGTCCTTCTGGTTGTCTTTGGCTTTATTTATTTCAGTCCGTCTCTGTTCAGCAAAGTCGTTTTTCAAAGAGAGAAAGACTCAACATCTGCTGAATGTTGAGAGCATTCATGGCTGTAATTTATAAATTTTTTGAACTTGGAAGCATGGTATTATGCTATAGATCCTCTGTTATATGTGATCTTATATTTCTCTTGTGGTGGCCATTAAAAGATACTAATGTCAGGGGTTTGCTCTTTTGCTTTTCTTGTGGTATGCCAAATGAGAATCTGATTATCAATAACTGCTTGTACATGCACAAACATTTCATGTAATGTGTTAAGCATCCATGTTGGTTGTTTTCCAAAGTATTTTCTTGATATTGGGCATTTTATATTATAGAGTAAGCCATTGTTTTGAAACGTCTTTTTGTCTAATGTACTTTCACAACCACAAGCTCCAGTAACGCTTCATTAACCAAACATGAAATGTTCATTTGAACTCATATCATTCGCTTGAGCATTTTACGCATATACATGTCATGTTTTTATAAGATATCCCTTGTTACGAATTACTTTTCCCCAACCTTATTTTTTCTTCCTTTGTGAACCAATAATCTGTACTTAAGTCAGTGACTTTATATTAGCAATATTAGCCTGTCTGAGAACGTTCAGGAAGTATTTGAAGAAGCTCTATGTGTTAATCATATTCTGTTTGACTCACAGGCCATAGCAGTCATAAATCGCTCTTAATGTTCATGGCAGGTCCTGTCATGTCCCTGTTAATTCCTAGTGAGGTTTTATTTTTACTGCATGACATTCTGAAACAGTTTTTCCAAGGTGTTGTCTATTTTTCCTCAGATGTGCCCCAGGATATACTGGCAATCCCCAACTTGGACAAAGATGCACTCCAGACAGCGGTAATGGTGGTAAGACTGGCAAAGATGATGTAAAATTATTCTTAAAATTATAATCAATAATAACATTTCTCCTACATTAAAATACGTTACCAATTTGTTACAAAATAAAATGTGACTTCAAGAGAAAATATGTTTATAGATTGTTACCGTTGTGACGAAAGTGGTAGCGAAGGATGTAGTTCAAATGGAATCTGTCGCTGCAAGGTAAGAAAATCAATATTTGTGTGTGTGTGTTCTTTGCATCACAATTATAAAAACTCAGTTTTGAAACATACTTGTTTGTACTCAGATGAACGTTGAGGGGTCAACATGTTCCACTTGCAAGCAAGGGACCTTCTACCTCAGTCCTGCTAACAAAGATGGCTGTCTGTTCTGCTTCTGCATGGGCGTCACCCAGCAGTGCTCCAGCTCCAGATATTATAGAGATGTGGTAGGGCCTGATGAGTTACACCAGTGCTTTTCATCAGTCTGTATAGGCTTATGTTCATTTTCTGCCTTTTTTCTCCAGGTTTCCACCGTTTTCACCCCTGGCAACTACCAAGGTTTTGCTCTTGTAAACCGCCAGCGCACCAACCGCATTGACAGTGGCTTCTCCATAGAGCTGTCCACAGATGGAACACAACTCTCCTACACTAACTTTAACTATCTTGGACAGGAGCCCCACTATTGGCAGTTACCCAACGCCTATCAGGGAGACAAGGTAGAGTTTGGCAGCATTATGTATTTTATCGTTCTTACAAGCCTTCGTTTCTGTTTGCTTACGTTCTATCTGGAAGTATCTTCTCCCGCTTTGAATTCCCTTCAAATGGATTTCTTTCTGCAAATGCGTCCTGCCAAGACCTTTTCTTCCAAAATGTACTTAGTCAGGGCAGCTCTTCTACAGCTTAGAACCGTTTTCATAGTGGTTGGAGTGTACACAAAGACTATAGTAGGTACTAGTGTCAACCAATTGAGTTTGCTTAGGCTTAAATTGACTGATGTGTCTTTATATTTAGATTTTTTCCTTGTTTTGGATGTGATACACTGATTTAAGTGTTTCTGAATCTACTTGCCATTTTTAGAAGTCTTACTCTGCTCGGACTAGACGAGCACACAAGGTAATCTTTGCAGGTTCGGCGAGTGATCATGTTTGTTGAGTGTGTCTGTTGTGATTTGGCCTGCTGTATTTCTAGAATTAGAATGATGCATGAATGGATCATCTGTGCATCATGTTACGATTTTATGATTTGAAGTGCATGCACTCTAAAAAATGCTGGGTTGTTTCAACCCAACTTTGGGTCAAATATGGACTAACCCAGCTGTTGGGTTAAATTTTTTAATTAAAATTTTAACCCAAAAGTTGGGTTAGTCCATATTTGACCCAAATTTGGGTTGAAACAACCCAGCATTTTTTAGAGTGTGGGATACTAAGGCCCTGTTGACACCTGCAACCTGGTTAACACCATGTGGTCACTTTTGATTTTAGAATGTATTGAATTATTTAGAATTGAGGGTTCGCTGTTCACTGTGGTGTCTGAAAAAATGGCATTATCGAAGTCTTAAAAAAATGAAATGACTCAGATGAAAGTGACGTTTTTTTTGTCTTTAAATTGTATGGAAATACAAGTCAAACAGAAATGTTACATAAAAGTAACTGAAGAGTTCAAATGCAAAATCCTCTAAGTGCCATCTGAATTTTTCTTCTAAAATGAGCATTTTTCTCAGGCTCCAATGTTTATGTTCAGTTATTTCACTTTAATGGCAATGAAAAGAACCTATTCATTGCCATTAAAGTCAAATTACTAAACCTACACATGAGAGTCTGAGAAAAATGCTCATTTTAGAAGGAAATTTCAGATGGCACTTCTCTTCAACTATTTGTTTATAATTCATTAGTTTATAATTTAGCTTTTGTATCGAGATTGCAGAAATTGCTTTATTCACAAAACTAGAGAGACTCATCATGGATAAAGGACCAACTGAGAAAGGACGTCGCTGTATGGCAGCTACTGAACGATATGGGTAAAGACCTCTTAAGGTCCAAAAAAGCCATTGAGGTATTAGTTCACTTTTACTGACCTTACTTGAATCCTATAGGTGCTTTAACAGTGTGGCACCCTCCTGTTTCACATAACTGATGGATATTTCTTTAGCAACAGAATGTACTAAATTTAATCTGAATGTTTGAACTCCCTCTAATCCTTCAATGCTTTTAATAAACTGACTTCTGGAGAGTTTGCACTGAAAATTAATTACTAGAAAACTGACTGATATGCTGAACTTCCATAGAATCAGTGAAGGTCACATTACATAATATCTTCATGCATTAACTCCACCTGTAGATGTTTGAATCGAAAGGGATATTATATTTGAGAGAAAAACAGCATGAAGCAAAGTGAGGTTTGAAAATATTTTGCTGTGACACCACTTAAACACAATGAACACTTGAGGTGAGAGCATACATGCTATCCTGGTTCTTACACTGACGTTATTAACACTTCCCTGCATGCATTTAATCATTTAATCATCTGATTGGCTGCATGTCCCTTTCTTTCCTCTCAACTTCAAGTTTTGGCACATCGGTCTCTTCGCTCTCTCTCTTTGGCTTTGTTTACACTGCACAAAAATCTGGTTTGTTTTTCTGGTCCGATCTCTAGAAATGGCTCTCTGTTTGATCCATTCATTTGTTAGACTCAAAAGACCATGTGTCTACTACCGTTCAAACATTTGGGGTCAGTATGATTTTTTTTTTTTCTTGAAAGATACTTTTATTTCAAAAATGGTACTTTTATTTAGCAAAGATGCATTCAGTTGATCATAAGTGACAGTTGACAGCCATTTATAGTGTTTCAAAATATTTGTTTTAAAAATAGGTATCACGTTTTCCACCAATGAAGCAGCGTAACCGTTTTCAGCATTGAAAATAATAAGAAATGTTTCTTGAGCACCAGTTCAATATGATTTGTGAAGGATCATGTGACACTGAAGAATGGAGTAAAATTCAGCTTTGTCATCACAATAATGAAATACATTTGAAAACCTATTTAAATAGAAAATGGTTATTTTAAACTGTATTAATATTTCACAATATTACTGTATTTTTAACAAATAAACAAATGGTGGGCATAAACATTACTTACAAAACATACTTTCAAAAAAAAAGTAAAATCTTTCTTACCTCAAACTTTGAGCAGCAGTGTTCATTGATTACTATAATAATGACTGTATTATAGCATCAGCCCAAGAGATTTTCTCAAACAACAAACCAGAGGCATTTTACATACAGTATGTACTGTCCACAATGAAATATAAGTAGAATTTAAATTCTATCTGACCAACTTTTTAAATTAGGTTTCTTTGTTTCTTGCTCTTCAAACTGAATGGATTTGTGTTATAAACGCACTAATATTTGCTGCCTATCTGAACAAAGCCTTTGAGTCACTATATTTCCTGTTCCATCCGTTGTCTTATTCTCACTAGCACCCTGCTGATGACGTACGCAAACTTGATGATGAAATCTGGGCAATCATCACTAATTTCCCCAATGGGCAGTCTCCCTTCCCTTTCTCTTCATCCTCTCAAACTTCCCATTCTTCATTTGAGGCCCAGAGTTCTCTGTCTCGGTCAAGTGTGCGTGCCCCTTCTTTCCATTCTGGTTTAACTTCCTCTTTAAGGGTCTCTGAGTCCCATTCAAACGACCCCGACCATTCCTCTCACCCTGACTCAACTCAGGTACTGTGTGCTCTCACTGGTGGCTCTCACGCAGGCTCATGTCAGGATTACACCTGGGCTAGTCATTAACTAGTAGTCGTTCACTCTGAAAATCCAAATTGTTATAATTTACTCATCCTCATGTCTTTAAAAACCTGTATGATTTCGTGGAACACAGAAGAAGATATTTTGGAGGATATTTCAGTAAAATGTAATGAAGATCAATTGGGTTCAAAATATTGTTGGATCCCATTGGCCTTTATTGTAAGGAGTAGTATTGAGTGATATGCTCCATAGTCTTATCGTCCTATTGTCAGCCTATGAGATCGCAGATACACAATATTATCATGCTAATTTATTTAATTATTTACTTACTTGGATTCATAGCCGGAGAGTGAACCAACTCCAGGCTAAAAGTCAAGTAGCATGGTGTTATAAAATATTTTTAATATGACTGAATTTGTATTTAACATAATTTAATAAAAACATTGTATGTTACAGTTATTCAAACAGCAGCTACAGAAAATGAGCAAAGAACATTTACATGATCAAAGAACATCATCACCGACTTCAGTCTAGCGCAAGTTTGTGCACATTAAAAAACACTCCCATTATAATCAGTGAAGAATAAATCTCTTATGCTTACATTGCACGTATGTCTGCACTTTGTTGTTTATGATGAGAGAATTCGTGAGTGAGCAGAATTCAGTCAGCGAGTGCACACTCAACAACAAAACTCTGGTGTTTCAGCGATGACTCATCTCAACGCCTCTGATTGGCCAGTGCATTCATAAACTCATCGGAAACGTGTTTGATTGGTTATAAGGCGCAACACTGTAAAGCACAAAAATTACGGAACAAATAAGCCTAATAATATTAGCCTGATAATAATAGTAATAATCGTTATGCTATCATCAAAGGCATCAGCCACAGATGATATCTCTGACTATCGTCGATACACGATACTATCGTCTATTGGAACAACCCTAGTAAGGACAAAGAAAAACTTTATTTCCCCAACAGATCTTCTTTTGTGTTCCAAAGATGAAAGTCATATAGGTTTGGGATGAAAGGAGGGTGACGATTTTCATTTTTGGATGAATTATCACCTTGAAATGCAACACACACACACATTAAAAAAAAGTTTACTCTACTTGTCATTCATGCAGTAGCTAGTAGCTTAGCACTTTCTTAGTTTACACTAGTAAACATTTTCTTGTGATAAAAAAAGATATGTTGTTTGATTTTTGCTTTGGATGTTGGTCTTAGCAGCAGGTGCAACAGGGAAAAAACACTGTTGCTCTCCCTAGAGGTCCACGGCCTGGCCCTTCTAACAAGGTAGTCACCAGTGAAAAAAATTATCAAAGTTTCCAAAAACAATATTAAGCAGCACAACTGTTTTTAACATTGAAAATAATCAGAAATGTTTCCATGTAGGTATAGCTTGAATAGACTTTTTATTTTTATTTTTTATAGTAAACCAAATTCTCAGTTCCCAACTCTTCTTATTTATAACTACCATATTTTATTGTAAGGATTTTTATATTTATATATAATATAAATTATATGAATATAAATATATACGTACATGTAAATACATGTAAATATTTTCAAAATATATACTGTCTTTATATATACATAAGAAATACACACAGTACACACATTATGTAAACAAAAATGTTTATTTTGGAAGCGATTAATCATTTGACAGCTTTCTCTCTCTCTCTCTCTCTCTATCTATATATATATATATATATATATATACAGTATAAAACATGTAAAAAAAACATGCACAAGAAACCACTGTGTGAAATGGCAGCATTTCAGAATATATTTAATGTTTAATGTTCACGTATATGTTCAGCAGGATTTTAGACAAATGTGATTTCACTTGTCCTGTCACTTGTTGCATTTGTGGCTGGTTAGGGCATATTTTTCTTTTGTTCTGTTTTGTTTTGTTTTTGTTTTGCTTGTATTTTGTTTTGTTTTGTTTGTATTTTGTATTTTGTTTTGTTTTGAATACATTTTTATTTAATTTTTGTTCAACCACATAAAAGCCCTAAATGAAAAGGTCAAAAGTAAAACCACTATGAAATATTATCATTTTGGGTTTTTTGCAGGTTTTATCAGCAGGTTTTTTGTTTGTAGTTATGATTCATATAAAAATTTCAAACTTTTCTCATGCTATACTTTATATCAATGCTTTTTGTGATTAAATGTTTTTGATCCTTATGTAGGTTGGCGCATATGGTGGAAAGCTGAAATATACCATCTCCTATGTGCCAGGACCCCGAGGTTCTCCAATAGAAGATGCTGATGTTCAGATTATTGTGAGTTTGATAGCAGATGTTGTGTGTATGGTATATATAGGTTTTCTTTTAAGGTTTGACCACTATTGTTCGTCACTATTTCTACAGGGTAATGACATCACGCTGGTGGCACGCCAACCATGGAGAAGAGGGCATGGAGCCCGAGAGTCACAGGACTTTGAGATTGTTTTCAGAGAGGTGAGAGCCCATTCATCCATTACGTTATTCATATTGGACCAAGACATATGGATTAGCATGACACGGATGATTTTTTGTTTGCAGGAACACTGGCAGCGTCCAGATGGCATGCCGGCAACCCGGGAACACCTGATGATGGTGCTCGCGGACCTCGATGACATCTTGATCCGTGCCTCGTATCACACAGAGATGCGCTCATCCAGTATTTCGGGGGTCCGCATGGATATCGCTGTGCCCGAGTACACTGGCCTGGCCCAGGCTTTGGAGGTGGAGCAGTGCCAGTGTCCTCCTGGTTACCGTGGTCTGTCCTGCCAGGTAGAAACAATGCAGCTTTGCTCTGTGAACAACTGGATGAATCGTAGTAAAGGCTTGCTTCCATGCTAGAGCGATGATGATGACAGTATTACTCAATCCAGACATGTGTCCGTTGTCTCTGTGTTCTGTAGGACTGCACTCCTGGATACACTCGCACAGGAGGAGGCTTGTACCTTGGCCACTGTGAGCCATGTGACTGTAACGGCCATTCGGACTTCTGTCACCCAGAGACTGGCATCTGCACGGTATGAAGCTTTACCAGCAGTTCTTTAACAGAAGTGTGTCCCAGAATGCTTTAAGGCATTAACACAATCCCATTCATATGAGAGTTTTGCTCTCTCTTAGTCAGTATGAACAGTACAGTATAGCAAATATATGTCTGTATAAAATATAATACAATATGTATGGAAATCATTTTATAAAATAAGTAAATAAATAAATGAAATAGTTATTTAATCTTATAATAATATATTACGATAATATAATAGTTACACTGCACTGCATCTAAAAACTGTTATATACTATAAATATTTAAAATAATATTAATAGCATAGATAGATAGATACATAAACAAATTACTGTTACTTTTACTCACAAGTTGAAAAGATATGTAAACAAAATAATATTATTGCATTGCATACTAAGGAAATAAATCCTTTACTCAACTTGAGCTGTACAGTATACAGTACCGATGTATTTCTGTATAATATATAATACAATAAAAAAATAAGTAGCACAAAAATGAAATAAACTAACATATAATAATTATTTAATATGTATTTAGTCATGAAAACAATAATATTTTTAACAAATTGAATGTCGTGCAAACGTGTGTGTGTGTGTGTGTGTATAAGTAAGTAACAAGTAGCTAGAATAGAAAAAGAGTAAAGAACACTAGTGTTAGAGGGTGTTTTATTTTATTTTTTTAAATAAAAAGAAAACAAGTAGATAAAATAAGAATAGAACAGAGTGCTAGAGTTAAAGTGTCAATTGTAGATGGAAGAGAGAAACAAAATAATATACTTGCATTTTATTCAAAATGATCAAAAAATGTATATTATAAATTGAATAAATATTAGAAACGAACTAAAATCAAATCAATATTTAAATATATATTGCCTTTACTCACGCTTATAAAAGGAATCCATACCACATGTGATATCTTTTTGATCCGTAGAACTGCCAACACAACACCAAGGGTGAGCTGTGTGAACAGTGTAAGTCATTTAGTGTTCTCAAACTTAATTTTTTTTTATTTTTATATTTGCAATATTTATATTTTATTTTAGAATATTATATATATTATTTATTAATTTTGCCTTTTTTGGGACACACTGGTCAAGGTACAAAAAAAAAATTTCTTTCTGGATTGACATACCGCATTTCCCTCACCAGCCTTACCATCCAAACCTATTGAAGTCTTTATCGAGGAGCCCAAAACACAGAGTGTGGCGGTGGGATCTACAGTGAGCTTCATCTGCACTGCCAAAAGCAAGGTATGAATGTCATCTGCGCACATATCCATCACAGACATAATCTTAGCCTCCCTGACTTCCAAACAGATGGGGCAGAGAGAGAGAGAGAGAGCAGGATTTGGCTGTGAGTATGAATGACTGTAAGTGAAAATATTTGAGGACATGTGCTTCTCTCGTAGCTGCCTGCGTACACCCTGGTTTGGACCCGCAAAGGCAACGGCAAGCTGCCTAACCGGGCCATGGATTTCAATGGAATCCTGACCATTCATAACGTGCAGCCTGAGGACGCAGGCATCTATGTTTGCACGGGCTCCAATATGCTTGGCATGGATGAGGGCACAGCCAAACTCTATGTCCCAGGTTTGTGACTGGCACCACATCCTCTAAACCTCCCTGCCTTTTAGTTTTCTGTCTTTCTCAAGTTGCACGTCTCTTCGCTTTTCTTCATTGCCCCATTTTTGTGCTGTTTGTGCAAAATTCTGCTTTGTCTTATGGACAATGGCATGGCTAACTCTTCGTTTTGTGTTTCAATTATCGCATTAATCAAAAAAAGTGCTTTTTGATTACTTCCTGAGTTTTTTCCCCACTTACACGAACTTAAAAGGCTTCTCATGTTGCCAGTGTAAAATCTTTACACCAGACAAATTGATACAGCTTGTGAATGAAAAGCAAAACTTTGTACTCAATAACTAAATCTCAGAAAATGCTTTTTCAATCAAATCTAATCCAGCACCTGGAATAAAAAAAAAATCTTAATTTTTTCTCATGCTCACAAAGGGTGTTGCAAGCTAAAATCCTAAACAAAAAGCAGATTTTTAGTCATGAATATTGGAAGCTTAGAATTTGTTCTTCAATGCTCTTAATTAAGGACTTCTCATAAATTCCCATGATGCTTATTTTGTTATGTGACTCACATATCAAAGCAGGCGCACAAAACAGACTCCCATGAAGACTGACGTCAATTTAATCATATTAAACGTTTGATAAAAATGTTTTCTCAGTAGCAGTTGGTTTTTGGTTCAGAATATTATGCAATTGCACAGTGAAACATGAGCTCAACATATTTTGTGCAAATTGTTCATAAGATCCATGTCCTGAGTTTTTTCCCCACTTACACGAACTTAAAAGGCTTCTCATGTTGCCAGTGTAAAATCTTTACACCAGACAAATTGATACAGCTTGTGAATGAAAAGCAAAACTTTGTACTCAATAACTAAATCTCAGAAAATGCTTTTTCAATCAAATCTAATCCAGCACCTGGAATAAAAAAAAAATCTTAATTTTTTCTCATGCTCACAAAGGGTGTTGCAAGCTAAAATCCTAAACAAAAAGCAGATTTTTAGTCATGAATATTGGAAGCTTAGAATTTGTTCTTCAATGCTCTTAATTAAGGACTTCTCATAAATTCCCATGATGCTCATTTTGTTATGTGACTCACATATCAAAGCAGGCGCACAAAACAGACTCCCATGAAGACTGACGTCAATTTAATCATATTAAACGTTTGATAAATATGTTTTCTCAGTAGCAGTTGGTTTTTGGTTCAGAATATTATGCAATTGCACAGTGAAACATGAGCTCAACATATTTTGTGCAAATTGTTCATAAGATCCATTTTTATGTAAATTGTTGTATTACATTCAGTGATACATTTTTGATTTACACAAGTGCTGTAAATCAATGATACTGGAGCATAATTGTGTAATTGGGAAGAACTTAATTTGCCTTACTAAAAAGCCAATGAGTAGCTTCCTTGTACAAATAAGCTTTATGTGCTGTATATCTCAGTTAAAAGTCCAGATATAAAAGGTAAAATAAATCATATCTGTATCATATCATATTTGAGAATTGTTTTTTTTTTTTTTTTAACATGATTTAAAATTTGACACGTACTGATGTAATTAGTATGTGAATGATATCAACCTCAGGCATTTTGAGACGTTTGTAAAGCTACCTGTTAAAACATGATTTACCTTCATGGAAATATAAAATGTAAGCTTGCCTAAACTTGTCTAGAGATAATTTAGTCCCCACCTATTAAAGTATAATTTCACAGCAGCATTGCAACAAAAGAAATGCAAGTTGTTGCACACTCGATCTGGAGCTCAAAAGTCATGAAGGCTCTAAGTTGAGTGGCATATGCTTTAAATCACATTGAAATGCACCAGTGCGCCACTCTCACAGAACCTTCTGGAGACTCACTTGACAGTATCTGCCTGTCCGTCATTCACAGAGGCTTCTCAGTCACAGATGTTTTACACAGCCTATGAGATGTTTGAAGGACATAGAAAGCGTAAGTCCACATGGTTCTCTCCCTCCAGGCCTGGAAGGACCTGTTCCTTTCACGCATGCAATCTTCACTCCCTGCATGCTTTTACCATCTCAAGTAGTGCCAAGGTACAACCAAACTACGAGCATGGTGCTACTATTACAAAAAATAACTTGATGACCACCAGAGATTTTATACATATTTATTCTTTTAATGTTAATCCTGTTTATGACCACATTTTGCTCACATACTGAACATGTGTTTTTTGTTGTACGCAGAAGCATTACTTGATATGGCTAAGCTTTCAAGACTCATATGGGTCCATTGAAAGAGTGAAGCTGCATGCTTACACATTTGGGGACTTCTCTCTGTTGCTGAAGTGTCTTGTATGATTCTTATATCATTAGTAATTTGTCTGTAACAGAGATTTTGTTGGTGCTCAAAACCAGTTCTGTATCAGATTGGTAAGGTTAATTATTTTTGCATGATGTTCTTCAAGGTGCATGCTGTTATATGTGACCAAACCACCAAACATCACACTTGTTACCTAACAGAGAGGGGTCCCCCACACATTTCATCAGCCCAGTATCATGCTTTTGATATACAAGACTCATATTTTGAGGTATATCAGATATCAATTAACATCCATTATTCTTTCGAAGATAATACTATGCCTCATTTATAATGGTCATCACTCATGCGTACATGTCCAGTGCACTGAACTAGGCTCTCTCAAATTTTATAGACACTATTTAAAAGATGGTTTCACTTTAGTATGAATTTAATTGATTTATGGTGATTGATGGATAGGTAGATTAATAGATAGTTAGGTAGACAGGATATATGAGCAAATGGATGAGTAGACCGATTGGTAGAGAAATGGTAGATAGGTAAGTGGTTAGATAGATGATAGAGTAGGTGAATAGATAAATGCATTGATGGATTTATGTATAGACAGAATTTGGGAGTGTAAATCGATAAGTTGATGAATAGGTGACTAAGGGTGTGGATAGTTTAGGGGATGCACAGATGTATAGACAGATAGATGGTGGATAGACAGCCTGATAAGTGGATAAAAAGATGAGTAGATGGTTGGGTGGGCAGAAAGATGGATTGGTAGATGAGAAGGATGGATGGATGAGTTGAAAAATAGACAGTTGGGTAGACCGTTATATGGTTGGGTCAATAGATGTGTAGACATACATGCATGGGTAGACAGATGGTTGGGTGGACTGATAGATATGGAGACAGAGAGAGATGCAGTAGGTGATTATATAGATGGATGAATGAGGTGAAAGATTGGTGGGTAGACAGCTAGATGGTTGGGTAGATAGATATGGAGATGTATAGATAGAAGGGTGGGTAGATAGACATGAGTAGACGGATAAGATTGGGTAATTAAATAGATGGTTGGGTAGATGGATAAGGTGGAGTGGGTAGGTAGATGGTGTATACAGAGATGGGTGGGTAGATGATAAATGAGTAGACGGCTAGGATAGGTTAGATGAGTTGAAAAAGGGGTGAGTAGACAGTTATGTGGTTGGGTTGATAGATGTGTAGACAGGTAGATGGTTGGGTGAATGGATGGCTATGTAGACGATAGATGGGTGGTTATATACAGTACAGTAGATGATATAGACAGAGATGGGTGGGTAGATGTATAGACAAAAGTGTAGTTAAACAGAGAAGATTAGGTAAACAGATGGTTGGGTGGATGGAAAAGTTGAAAATAGATGGGTGGGTAGACAAATGAATAGTTCAGAAGGTATATGGTGTAGTAGACGGTGATGGGTGGGTAGATAGATGGATAAATGAGTAGATTGGTGGATTGATAAATGAGTAGACGGAGAATTGGGTAGATGGATAAGTTGAAAAATTAGTGGGTAGACATAGTTGGATCGATAGATGTGTAGACAGCTGGATGGTTGGGTGAATGGATAGATGCATAGACCGATAGATTTGATGGTTATATAGATAGAGGTGTCTGGGTAGACAGATGAGTTAGAAAAAAGATTGGTGGGTAGACAGCTAGATGGTTGGGTGAATAGACAAAAGGTTGGGTAGATAGACATCTGTAGACGGAAAAGATTGGGTAAACAGATAGTTGGGTAGATGGAAAGTTAGAAATAGATGGATGGGTAGACAAATGAATAGCTGAGCAGGTAGATAGTGTAGACAGGTGGGTAGATAGAGGAGTGGATGAATAAAGGGGTGAGTAAACAGCTATATGTTTGGGTGTATAGACGGAGAGATAGAGGTGTAGACAGCTAGATGGTTGGGTGGATGGATAGATGTGTAGACAGTTAGATGGGTGGGTAGATAGATCTCATGCACAAAAAAGTACATTTGTGAGTTATGGACCAAAATAAGAACTCTATTTGTGAGCCCATCATGGAAAAAGTAATGCTTAAATGCCAAGGCAGCTAAATGAGCACTGTTCAGTCACTGAGAAGCAGACTGGAGCTTAACACAGAGCTTACACAGACCAGTAGTCCACCCCAGTTGGTGAAAGAAAGCTTTCTTTTGCTCTGTTGCCCTGGAATCCCTATAGATCGATGGCTCGCCGTCAAGCCAAGTTGGCACAGACAGCAGTGAGGGCCTCGCCCTGCCAAGCCCCATCTGCCATTTCTCATCTCCTCAAGCTGGCTGCCAAGAGACATGATTTGACCATCAACTCTGGCAGCCAGACACACACTGCATATGCTGTCACACCACTATCACTTCATAAACACCCTCACAAACAGACCTTTCCCAAATGTAGAGCTGTTTTCAGTTTTCCATCCATTTGCCTTTTTGTATTTGTAGTGCTTATGATTGAGACCACACAGCAAGATAAATGTGAAAAAACATGCTCAATTAATTAGCATGACATTTAGACAATGAATGAGAAATTAATTTCACTGAAAATGTTCTTGACCTCTTCCGTCATCGAGAGAGGGTAAGGTCTGTTCTGAATAGGTATTATCTGTAATGACTGGTACTTCAGTTTGAAGTGCTCTACTCCTGTCTGTGAATAACTGATTTCTACCTCACTGTAGCTACTGAAGGGGCCCAGCCGGTGGCCACAGTAAATCCACCTGTGCTGACAGTCCAACAGGGCCAGCGGGCAGAGTTCCGCTGCACAGTGACCGGCAACCCCACCCCTGCTGTGGAATGGATAGGTGAGCCAATCTACATTTGAGAATATAAATTAATATATTCATTTGTGGTTACTATGATTATGCCAAGTAGAACTTGGTTATAGGACATGTGATCTTATGTTGGCCCTAGAGCAACATTCCTGCAAAAGAAGACCCTTGAGAAAAAGATGTGCAATTCCCTAGAGAAAAATAAATATACTAAAATGTATTTGAAATACATTTATTTCATACTAAGTATATACAAGTACATTTACATATTAATGTACTTAATGAAAATACCCTGCAATTGTACTTTTGGTATACTAAACTGGTATACTTAAATTGGAACAACTAATTTTGTACTTAATGCACTTTAATTTTGCACAAGTAGTGCTGAAGTCCAACTAAAGATATACTATAGTTTGCTAAAGCAAATCTATTGCAAGTATACTTTATGTACACTTTAAATATCTTGCATTTAAAGAGCGATATTATTCAAACATCATACAATCCTCATCAATAGCGACATTAAAACACATTTTAAGCTTAATATTAAGAAATGTGCATTGTGCACAAATAGTACTCCAAATAAAGTTTAATTATAATTTTTATGTCAGTAAGTCTTGAGTGATATATCAGTAAACATGTTAATAGATTTAAACTATACTTAGTATGAAATAAATGTATTTTAAATATATTACTTTTTTAATAGGGTTCAGCATACTTATGGAAATAATATACTTAAGAGCATATTGAATGCAATGTTTTCAGACACTTAGTTGCAGTTAAATGAAAATGTTTATAGTGTAATATTTATATTAAATGCAATTTGAAGTAAGTAGGGGGCGGCACAGTGGCTCGGTTAGCACTGTTGGTATATTTTAGTACATTTAAAATATATTAACTTTTTATTTAATATAGAATAACACTTGACAGTTAAAATTATAAATTAAATACTGTACATGTGCTTTATTTTGTTAGTCAACACAATGGAGTGTTACTACTTTAAAGCACAACAAAAGATTCTTACAATTTAATTATTTAAGATGTACTTTAAGATAAAATCTTTAATTTGACATTACAAAGTGCCCTTTTAAAATCGTACTTAAGTGTGTTAAACATGGAAGTGTACTTTAAATGCACTTAAGTGACCTTTTATTTGATATGTCTGCAAGTTACTTTTAAGATTTAAAGTACACTACAAGAGCTCACAGAATACAATTAAGCACACTTATTTTTCACAAGGGGGCTAGAAAAACTGAGATGAAGCCTAACCCTTTTTCATTTCCTTTGCCCAGTCCTCAAAATCTGACTGGTAGATAAGAATGTTGTTGCTGGACCTACAAGGGTGTGGATTGAAGAACATGTCCTACCTTGAAATCATGGAAAGCATTGTTTGTTGATGAAGATATTGAGTTTTCAATCTGGTCGTGTGGTTAGGTATTCCCACATAGCATCAACTGTTCCTTCCTGACTCCTGAATTCTCTTATGATATGGTGTTTGTCAGGAGGTCCTGGGAAACGAATCAGTTCAAAAGCTGTCATTCGTAATGGGCTGCTGACCATCCCATCTGTGGATCGCTCGGATGAGGGCGAGTACATCTGCAAGGCTCTGAACACACATGGCGAGCACACAGCCCGAGGAGTTCTTCATGTTCAAAGTACACCAGAATACTTCAAGATTTACAGTGTAACAAGCTCATGAAGCTGACAAGTGAGTTCTCCTTTACTTTATAACTGATGTTTCAGGTACAAGTCAACCTCACGGTCTACCCCATGTACAAGTGAGCCCTCCGCGGGTGGAAATTCACGAGGGTGAGACTTTGCGGTTGTACTGCAGGGCCGTTGGCAGTCCCACTCCTGCCCTCACATGGAAGAAGAGAGGTGGTTCACTGCCGCCACAGGTGAGAAACTAGTTTCTCCTTTTGTCATTCATCCTGTTACTCAATCAGGGTTGTGCCATTGCTCATATTTTGCCGTGTTTTTGCCTCCTTTGAGTTTTTCTTTCTGTTTCATCCCGTGTCTTGGTGTTTGTTCAGGCAATTCCTTCTCACGGTTTCCATCAGTTTAAAAGCAACAGTCTCGATGTGTTACAGAGACGTATTGAGGAGCTACAGGTCTGTCCATATGTCTGATGTCTGTCTTACGCGTCCCATCCCACCTGTCTCGCTTCACTCACCCTCGCCAAAATCTATGTGAACTAAATGCATGATTCATTTAATCATTCACGTGACATCCATTCGATTTTTAGCCAAATAAAGCATTGTAGATTACTTATGTGAGTACAAGCAATATTTAGTTTGCTCAGTTCAAGTTTGCACCGGTAAACAGTTGTGCTGGTTGTAGTTATCAAAGAGTATGTACTGTACAGTGTGGTGCAAAATTCTCGATTGTTCACCCAAAAAATGTCAGTTTGCTGAGAATTTGAGAACTCTCAGGACTTGTGAGATGTAGATGAGTTTGTTTCTTTATCTGAACTGATTTGGAGAAATATGGCATTACATTACCTGTTCACCAATGGATCCTCTGCAGTGAATGGATGCCGTCAGAATGAGAGCCCAAACAGTTGATAAATCTTCACAATTATCCACAAGTAACGTAAGTTGCATGTCTGTAATAAATCCATCAAGACATTTTTGACTTAAAACCATTGCTTCCGCCTAAAATATGAAACCTCTATCCCCATAATATTGCTGTCTCCAGTGAAAAAGTTGTCTTGCTTGAATCAGGAGTGAAATATGCACAGACTGCACAGATCAAGCACTGATAACTAGCGAAAATAGTACATTTTCTAATATTTTGACAAATGGTACTGTGGATTTTGATGCGAGAGGGACAGGACTTTTTAACTAAAGGAAGCATTATTATGGGTTATAGACATATTTTGGCTAGAACCAATGATTTAATGTTGTCACCCATTCACTGCAGAGAATCAATTTTACATTTGAATACATCTGTTCATAAGCGAAAACAAACTCCTCTATGTCTTGATGGTCTGCAGGTAAGTACATTTTCAGCAAATTTTCGTTTTTGGGTAAACTATTTCTTTAAAGCAAAGGCTGTACAAACTAAATACTGAAATTCATTTGCATTTTACAATTGAACTCTGGACTCAAATGTATTTAAATTAGGCAAAATAGAAAGCCAAACAGAAGCAGTGGACCCATTTCTTTTGAACCCCACTGTACATGTTTTTGCACTGTTAGATTTCGAGATATGAGACATGGACGACCCGTCCCATGCTGCTGGAGGGCTTTGGTGTCTTGCGTACCTTGTGTCTTTGTGGACTGGTTTGTTCTGCCTGAGAGCATCGCTGCATTGTGTCAGCTTTTCCCAGGGTGAGCTCTGGTCTACCGTGCAGCCATGCAGAAATTCTGTGTGCTCTAGCAAACGGGCCGCTTTGAAAATTTGTGAATGGTTTCAGACACTCATTCAACCAAGCCTGCCCCATCCCGGCTCTACTGCCGCCACGCTTCACTAGATAATAGTTAAGCAGCTTTACTCCTGGATAAAAAAATATCACCCCTCCCTTCTGAATACAGTCGTGTTTTCTTTTGCAGCGAGTACACTACAGATGTAACTGTCAGTTTTAGAGATTCTTTGCAAACGTGTTGAAACATTGACAACATAATTGTGCTAATCACATTCATGAATCTGCATCATCTTATAAAACTAAGAAATTATAAACATGTTTACATTTGAAGGTTGATTTACATGCTTGGATGTCTCTAGATGTAGGATTTCGATGTTTTGTTGTATAGCCACTAGCTGCTTTAACTGTCCACTGTCACTATATGTCTCGTCGCGTGAAATAATCACTGTCATCAATGCCATTAATCAATTACAGGTTAATCATCTGCTAATATAGACCTGTAGCACCATAAATGTAACACCAATGATTAATAACAATCTGTTATGAGGCATAAAAAATTACACTGTGTCTTAGCCAGATACAACACAAAAAGTCTTAAGTCTAAAAGTGTACCTGTATGTCTTAAGCCACCACAAACACTGCCTTTGCATTTAGTGAGGCATTTGGATTATGTCTGCCATGTCGACCTCCTACTTTTTGGATACAAGTAACACTCATGTATATTAATCCTCAAACAAGGAGGAGGATATTCCAAATGGTATAAATCTGCCCTCAGAGGGCACTTTGGAGTGCAAAACATATTGAAGGGTTTTCAAATGTTAGTGTTCAAAACTGGTCACTTCAAAGGGCCCTTCGGAATGAAGAATTTCAAAGGGTACAAATAATGGAGGCTTCTCTCCCATTATGCTTGGTCTAGGTTGAATTAGGCAAGACACAAAAGTGAGTTCCAAGGAACATTTTTTTTGTTCCTTACACCCCTCATCCCTACAAAGCTTTCACTTGATTGTGGAGGCTAAACCCTTCTTAGGGATTAGGTCATAGGTATGAGCCCTGCAGGATGAAACGTAGCCTGAATGTGGAAATGTAGAACTGAATATTATCCACCATTTTGCAACACAGAAGTGCAGTAATAAAGCAATTTTCTGTGAATTTGTTTGACCTCTGATTTATCTACTATAGATAAATGACTAGGACAATAATAAAGTCAAGTATATAGTAGATATGACAATTTCCGTAAAAAAACATAACAAATATGCTAAATTATTGCTGAAGTCATGAAAATATGAGGCATGTGTTTGGCACTCCAAACACAGCTACAGTGCATTGCAGGTGTGAGAAAGTGAGAGAATTGTTCTGATTGGCTGCGTTTACGAACAATTTCGTTGCATCACATCACACTACGTAGTCTTGTTTAGGACACGCCGATAGCCTCTTAACAAAAATTACTTTTACTTTTAATTTTACTTAATTTATTTGCAGGTATTACTGTATATTAATGTATTTAAACGGTTTTATTTAAAGTAAGTCTTGTCAAGGTAAGTATTGAGTATTAAATTGTCTTCTATTATTAATGCTGTTATGTTTATTCTGTTCCTATTGACCAAACTTACTTGATGTTCACAAAAAGTCAAGCCAATTTATTTATTTAGCACTTTTTACAATGTACATGATTTCAAAGCAGATTTACAGAAAATTATTGCAGCAATAATGTCTTAGATTCCATATAAAATAACTAAAAATGAACCTCAAATATCCATACATCCATATCTTCCTCAGGCCCGCATGGAGCGCACTGACATCGGCACTCTCCTCGTACCCAATATCAGGTCGTCTGATGCAGGCACATATCTCTGTGTTGGAACTAACACTGTTGGTTCCTCAGAAGCTCATGTTGAGGTCTTTGTAAAAAGAGGTGAGGCAAGTCCATTCATTTTAGACTAATATTTTTAGGATAGAATAGTAATATTATTCTGTCATGGTGATCAGGAGAAATCATCCCCTCTGGAGTCACCATCCAGCCCTCTATTGCTTCTGTAATGGAGGGAGAGACTCTAGATCTTAATTGCATCATCCCAGGAACCTCTCCAGCATCTGTCAAATGGAGCAGGGCAGGCGGCCTGCTGTCGTCCAATCATCAGGTTTTATCTCAGTCCACTATGAGGCATATTTGATTTACGTGAAGTGTGTATGACAGATCTTTGAGCCAAATGTGTTAAATATATGAACCATATGTGTGCTTTCATGTGCATTTGACTCAAGGTTTTGGGAGCTCAGCTGCGGATCCTGCAGGCCTCTGCAGATGACACTGGAGAATATATCTGTCAGGTGGAGGACGGCCCATTCCCCCGTCAGGCTTCTGTATCTGTGTCTGTGACGTCCAGCTCCTCCCGTAAGTCCCCTAGATTGATGAGAAACAGGAAAGTATCAATGACCAATCATGTTCATCTTGCAGATCATTAACTAAACATGCTATTATGAAGGCAGAGGCTATTTCATAATTCTCATAATCTCATAATCTTCATATTTTGGTTTTTCATGACTTCAGCTCTTCATCTCTTGCTGTGTCCCAAAAATTCATTTGATGATATATTTCTTTCCATAATGGTGTCCATTTTATGTAAAATACTTAAAGGGGTCATCGGATGCCCATTTTCCAGTTGATATGATTCTTTAGGGTCTTAATGAAAAGTCTGTAACATAGTTTGGTTAAAATTTCTCAATGGTAGTGTAAAACAACACCGTTTTTACCCTGTCAAAAACAGCTCTGTCTACAGCAAGTTGTTTTATTGCATGTCGCTTTAAATGCTAATGAGCTCTTAATCTTAGCACTCAGCATACCCGGTTAAAAAAGTCACCGCTCGCCACTGATTGAAATGTTAAATTATACAGCTCTCTTCTTTTGTTTTTGGGAGTGTATTTCTTCTCATTCTATGTTTTTAGGGCTTTTTAGTTTCTTAAGCCCTATTGGGACAGTAATCCTTTCTCATGGGGACGTCATACATTTACATTTGCAACATTTGACACAACCTAGCAAAACAAAAGATGATATGAGGGGGCATTAGGAGTTTTTGGAAAACCAATTCAGAAACCGTTTTTAGTGGTATTCCATTTGGTGAACACCATTTTTGCTTAATTTTTTTCTAAACATTAATGTCTGTAAACATAAATTTGCATGGCTTCTCAGTGATAAACTCATACAATCTGATGATGATTTATATACAGTGGAACAAGTTTTATGATGCTACGAACCCAGAGATGTAGTTCTCATGTGGTCAGCAACATTTATTTAAATCTTATTTAATAATAGAAAATTGACATGATTGTGTTGTTTTGCATTTTATCTCTCCGAATGATGAATGTAATTTAAAAAATGTGCAGAAATAAGTTAATGCAACCTCTTATTAACGTAAGATAACATCTGACCTGGCTACTTGGTCGTCCTGCAAGCCCCAGTTTATATTAATGTATTGTATATTTTAAAAAATATCACCACACACTCCTGGAAATGTTAAAATATCCTTACATGATCATGAGGAAAAACAATGATTAGGGCGAAAAAAAGACTAAAAACGACTGAGATAGCAAATACAGAATTAATATGACAAGAAGTATTCACTACTTTATCTAGAGAAGCACTAAACCCATAACTAGTTAAAAAATTAGAAGACTGCACTACATAGGTACTGCACCTCCACATTTTAAATGTGTGGAATATTTTTTGCCACTTTCAGTGGCACTTTTAGCCTAAGTCCTGTTTAATGAGTTTGCTCAACATGTGCCTACTGTATTTTGTGGCCTAATTGTGGAGTAGGTCTCCAGAGCCCCATTATCTCCATTGAGCCACACAGCGCAGCAGTGAAGCAGGGCGAGTCAGCGAGCTTCAGGTGCAGGGTCCACAGCGGAGCCCAGCCGGTGCGCTTAGAGTGGAAACCCACCAACAGCCTGCCTCTGCTAGGTACACTGCTGCAATTCACTTTCATGTCAGTCGTCAATTAATATGATGCCTGAATAGAAATGATGTTGCTTCTTTTCATATGTTCTGTAGATAACGTGAAGTTTGGTCCTGACAATTCACTCATGACTATTACCAATGCCCAAGCCAAAAACCAGGGCACCTATCGCTGTGTGGCCAGCAACCTGTTCGGAATGACCCACAGCATAGCTTCACTAATCGTGAGAGGTAAGCCAGTTCAGAAACAATCATTAATAATATTCCAGTTGGTGCACACCATTTTTGGTTTCAGTTTTTCTTATGTTCAGATACTTTTGTTGCTCCATCTTATACACCTATTCTTATATTTTTGTCTGATTTCATTCTTAGAATCTCCTAAGGCTGTAGTGACCCCTGCAGGACCGGTGCGAATCAGGGTCGGCGATCCCATCAATCTTGATTGCCAGGCCGCTGGAGAGCCAAGACCCTCTGTCAGATGGCACAGACTAGACAACAACCGCAGAACGATTCTGAGCAGCCCCGTGCCTGTCGATTCCAGTGCTATCATGCAGGTTATGGGCCGTCTGAAGTCGAGCCGTTGTTGATTTCACAATCATTTGCTTCTATATGTTAATCAAAGTGTGTTTCATTCTGTGTTCAGATCTTAGTTGCACGGACGGAAGACAGTGGCACGTATGTGTGCACTGCACAGAACAACCAGGGCACAACTGAAACTCGAGTAGAGGTGTTTGTTGAAGGAGGGCCTCAGGTGCCCACTGTTCCCCGTGCCAGCGTACGTGAGCCTATGATAGTCGTGGTAGAGGGATCAACCGCAACACTTCATTGCGACGCCCATGGTAGGTGCAACCGTAAGCGGCGGTTGAAAGTTATAACTGTTAAAATACAATAGGTGAAAATGAAAGCAGTCTGCTATTAAAGAGTGTGCCTTAAAGCTTTATTTTATCTTACCTAAAGGATTCCCAAAGCCCACCATCACGTGGTCTAAAGAACGGTCTTCTCTTCCTTGGACACACAAGATTGTTGACAACAGCCTGGTCTTACCTAATGTGGGCCGTCAGGACTCTGGTCAATATGTCTGCAATGCAACCAACCACATGGGCACCAGTGAAGTCACCATCATGCTGGAAGTAGACTGTGAGCTTAACTTATTCTTAGAGATGATTGTTTCTATTCCTTGTCTATCTGATTCATGTTCATTTTACACTTCAAAGATTGTTTTCTTAATTATATTTTACTTTGTTTTCCAGAAAAAATATCCCCCAAATCAAATAAATGTACTTGAAGCAAAAGTGTTTATAATATTAAGACTTTAGAGCAGTGTTTCTCAACCCTGGTCCTGAGCGCCCCCCAACACTGCACATTTTGTATGTCTCCCTTATCTGAAACACATTTCAGATCCTGGAGTTTCTTTTAATGAGCTAATGAGTTGAATCAGGTGTGTTTGATTAGGGAGACACACAAAATGTGCAGTGCTGGGGGGGCACCCAGGACCAGGGTTGAGAAACACTGCTTTAGAGAATATATTTTGAAAAACATTTATCATACATCCTTTTTGATCAATCATGTCTGACATCTAGATATTTATTACAAAATTATTATACACGCATAGATTGCAGGAAAAAAAAGAGATTTTTATAATACGTATTTTTTATTTTAATGTTTATTTTTATTTTTGTATTCAGTATTTTTGTTTGCCAGAAAACAAATCTAAATATCCTTAAAACATGTTAAATGTTCAGAATGTCATAAGATGTTCGTAGGTTTTCATAAGATTTTTTCAAGAGACATTTTAGATCATTTCTATTGAATTAATTTATCTTCTAGTTTATAGTCTACACATTTTTATGTCCATTGCAAAAATTATTTTCTTATACAGTATTTTTTTCTTGGTTACCAGAAAAAATATCTAAACATCTAAAATATATTATAATTGTTGTATCTATTTTTTACATTTAATAAAATATTAATACATTTTAGATTATATACATTTAATTAATTTATCTTGTAATTTTATTTATTTTCTTACTCCATTGGTACACTTTTTTCTTGTTTTAAACATAAACCTCACAAAATGATTTAGATTAAGCTTAAAACAAGATGGCAACAGGGTAAGAAAAATACACGGTAACACTTTTTTTTAAGGTGTCCTTGTTACACGTTACATGTACTTACTATTATAATAACAATAAATTATGCATAATTACATGCAAGTAACCCTAAGCCAAACCCTAATCCTAACCCTTACCATATAGTATGTACATGAGGTTAATTAATATTACTCAGTACTTAAATGTATAATTAGACTTTAACAAGGACACTTTAAAATAAAAAGTATAACCAAATGCACTAAATAAGATTCCTCAGAAAATTTTTTTAAAGTTAATTTGGTTTAAGTCTAAATATTGTTTGGTGGAAAACACAACAAAAATAATTTCATTTTTAAAAAATATATATTTGTACATTTTAACATTGTAGCTTTCGTCTGAATTTTTCCAAGAAGTGTGAAGCATATTTTCCTGTTGTTGTAAAGCTCTCAAAAATGAAACAGTGGTAATTATCCAACATCCTCTAACTGACATTTCTTTGGTTGGAGCAGCCCCACCCTATGCCACTTCCTTGCCTGATGACGTGTCCGTGCGAGTGGGTGAAGTAATCCGCCTGCAGTGCCTGGCCCGTGGCACCCCACCCCTGCGTTTTGAGTGGACTAAGGTCAATGGCAGCTTGCCTCCTACTGCTCAGCAGCAAGGAGGAGACCTCCAGATCAACCTGGCCAAGGAGAGCGATGCTGGGACGTACAAGTGTGTGGCCAGCAACAAGGTTGGCAAGAGTGAAGCGCTGGCCAGAGTCTCTGTCCGATGTGAGTACTGACAGTTCACTTTAATGCATGTATCATGCGTTCCTTCAAACTCACAGTGATCATCTGATGAATTCTAACTAGCATTCAGCTTGACCTCTGACCTCTGTGTCCTGCAGCACCCCTGTCAGTGAAAGTGTCCCCACAGGTAGAAGTGAAGGCTCTGGGCAGCGCTGTGGAGTTTACCTGTGCTGCTAAAGGAGGGTCTCACGTTGAGATTGAATGGCTAAAGGAGGGGGGGGTTCTTCCACCAAATCATCACATTAAAGACGGAGTGCTCAGGTGAGTCTCATCTAATATCAACATTGACAATCAATCAATCATTTATTTATAAAGCACCTTAAAAACCATGAAGTTATAGATAAATAATAAATATTATAATTAAGCAAAATTGATCAGATTTAAAAACGTCAGAGTGGGTAACAAGGTTCCAGATCTATATGATTAAGGAGGGGTTGACTAATCGCCACCAAATGTTGGTTTGTGTTTATTAATAAATTTACGCTATTGTTCAAAATATTTTTTATGTTTTTGAAAAAAGTCTCTTATGCTCACCCAGGCTGCATTTATTTAATCAAAAATAGAGTAAAAGAGTAGTATTGTGAAATAAAATCACAATTTAAAATAACATTTGTCTATTTCACATATTTCAAAATGCAGTTTAATCCTGTGATGGCAAAACACCAATTATTCCGGTCTTCAGTGCCACATGATCCTTCAGAAATCATAATACTCTGATTTGATTCTCAATAAACATTTCTTACTCTTATCTTGAAAACAGTTGTGATGCTTAGTATGTTTGCGGAAACTGTGATACATTTCAAAGTTTATTTCTAAATAGAATTTTGTTAGCAATTGAAAATCATTTACTGTTACCTTTCGATCAATTAATATGTCCTTGCTAAATTAAAAGTATTAATTTCTGTAAAAAAAACGAGTGTATTTTCCCCATAACTTGAATTAAAAATATGTTTGATCATTTTTCTTTCACAAACTTACAGTAATGGAATTTAATTGAATGGTCACGATTGCTGTTAACACTACAAATTGTGTAAAAAGTGAGAAAATAATGCTACTTTTAAGGAATACTATTTTTTATATTTATTGTTTTTGTAATGTCAGTAATTTTTTTACAGGGTAGTGCACAAAATTACTTTTTTAATAATTAAAATAAGGTAATAATTAAAAAAAATTACTACAGTAAACTGTTTAAAAATGATCAGTTTAGCTGATTATAACAAAATGATGACGTTGTTGAATGATTTTGTATGTTTTGAATTATGTTGTGTCTTTTATTTATAATATTTGTGCAGAATTGAGAACCTTGAGCAAAGCAATGAGGGAACCTACACCTGCAGAGCTACAAGTCTGTTTGGACAGGCTCAGGACAGTGGCAAACTCACCATTCAAGGTCCGTTATGATATCCAATATGTTTCCAAATCTTGGTTTACTCAACTTGAAAACCAATGACTTTGTGCTCTTTGTTTTCACAGCTCTACCCAAAGTGATGATCAATGTGCGCACATCAGTACAGACGGTGATGGTGGGCAACTCAGTGGAGTTTGAGTGCCATGCGATCGGTGATCCTGAGCCCACGGTGCGCTGGAGTAAAGTTGGAGGCTCTCTTCCCGATCATGTGGAAATAAGGGGGAACATCCTGAGGATTGATCATGTGGTCGAATCAGATTCAGGACAGTACCGCTGCACAGCCACTAATAATGTTGGCTCGGAGTATAACCAGGTGGTCCTTAATATCCAGTGTGAGTACATTATAATATCCAGGATGTTTATGATGCTTCTTTTGCCAGTGGTTTTTATTTGTATTATGTGACGCCTTAAAAGCGGCAAGCTGAATTCTGAATCCAATGCACTTTGTAGCCTTGCCTCAGATTTCTGCACAGCCTGAGTCAAAGGATGTAACTGTTGGCTCTGATGCAGTCTTGCCTTGCATTGCATCTGGATACCCAGTCCCAACCATCACATGGTCAAAGGTAATCTACATTTGCTCTAATTCAAAACACCAAAATCCTATTATACCATATATTTTTGGTGTGTAGAGTACTAAACATGGTTCTGTTCACTTTAAAAAGAGATTGTTAAGCCCATGTATGCTCTTCTTTCAGTTGGAGAATGAGTTGCCCCCTAAGTGCAGACAGGATGGCCATGTCCTGACAGTCCCTGGTGTCACTCACACAGATGCAGGAACGTACGCGTGTACGGCTGCTAATAAGCAAGGAAAAGTCGAGGCCTTCACCAGACTCGTTGTTCATGGTCTGTATGCAAGTCCGTTCTGTCTGTAGTTACATATTTTTTCCAGAGTAAGTCTTTAGTCACAATGCTGCTTGTCTGCAATTGTGGCTTTGTGATGAGAGCACTGATTTCATCTGGATGGTTAGACAAGTATAGTTCTGCTTAAACATCTCCACAGGATCTGGTTAAATGTCATTAAGCAGATATTTTTATCCAAAGTGACTTATGAAATGCTGCTTTTTGGATGTCTTACAGTGTGGAGATTTGGAAATATCCTTAACTATTATGCTACCCACCACCAAGACATGTTTTTCATGAGCTATTTGTTACTCTGAAGAGTTTCTGAGATGTTCTACTTGTCTCTCTAACATTCACTCATGTTCATATGGTCTTCCAGAGAGAGTGATGCCCTATTTTACCCAGGAGCCACTCTCATACCTCACACTCCACACTATCAGAAACGCCTACCATGCATTCAGCATCAAAATTACCTTCAGGCCGGATAATGTTGATGGTAAGGACCCTCAAATCTTCCAGATACTTCACTGCACCAGATCAGTTCTAAATATGCAGTTCTGACTTTAAGTAAGGAATAATTGACTCCAGGCCGTTGAATTATTAGAAAAATAATGCACACCCTCGCGTCGTGGCCGTTACACCTCGGGTGTACATTATTTTTCTAATAATTCAACGGCCTGGAGTCAATTATTCCGCTTATACTACGGTTACCACACCTCAAGACATCGATCAGATGATATATTTAAAGCGATTCGTCCGGTTTTTGTACTTAAAACGTTATTGTGAGTAAGATTATTTCTTCTGCATCTCATCCAACGCCTCTTTTGCTAGTTCCAAAACGTAATTTTAAAGCTGGTAATGGAAGTTTGAGCCGTTGATAGCATTCTAATGCAGTTATTAATGAAGTTATTAGAAAGAGAGAGACACAGAGAAAGAGAGAGCGAGAGGTTGCCTCTGAGCGTCCCTCAACAGTGTTCTGCAGCAGCGTCTCTAAACAGCGCTGTTATTACCTCGTTAGTGAGAAATGTCATGTGTAACCTTTAAGTTGCTAACGTTACACTATATAGGCTAATTAATAAAATCGTCAGGGCAGCGCTGACAACACCTTTTTGTGCAAACTGCGTGACCGTAGTGTGCGTGTGCAAGCACGTGTGATTGCAGTAATTCCTGTGTGCTGTATAGGTACTGTATGCTAATTTCCGTTAATACAGTTAACTATGCGAAGTGATATGGAACTGTAATGCGGTCAAGAGAGCTGCCTGGAACTACGTTCGCCATGCGTTTCTCTGAAAATAATTGCACACCTCAGAACGTTCGTCAGCCAATCAGATTCAAGCATTCAATGGCCCCGTAGTATAAAAGTTTGTCATTACTAGTATTCACATCACAGGTATTTTCTGTAGTGACTGTTGCTCATTAAATCACCTGCTTGAAGATTCTTCAAAATGTCTAATTGTTTGTTCCTCATAAGAAAGAAAGCCATTCAGGTGAATTAATGATGACAGAATTTTTATTTGTAGCTACAAAAATGTATTTGCAGTATTGCCTGTACTAAGTAAAGAGCACACTGTTTCTAAAATGTTCAGTCCTTGTACAGTTTCTTTTATATGTGTATTTATTGTATGTAAACTCAATTATTCTTTTTGTTCTTTGCCCTCTTTCACATCTCTTTGGTATGAAGGGCTCATTTTGTATGCCGGTGAGTGTGCTTGGTTGCCTGAGAGTGCCAGAGAGCACATGCTGCAAGATGTTTTTATGCCATGCAGCAGTGCAGCTCAGCATCTCTCACTGGCCCCTTAGAAGGGTCCTTATGAACATATGTAGGCATGACTATTGATCATAGTGTTCATCAAAGCATTTCTGCTTCACATTGAGTTGGTTGCAGCATGATACAGGAATGTTATCATGAACCGATTGAAGCTTTTACACCTGGTAGTGACAGTTATACAGTATGTGTGCAAAATAGTTTGTTTCTTTCTAAATACAAATTCTAAGTAATTAAAAAACCCTTCAAATTAAAATCAGTCATTTTAAAGAGAAGCTTTTACAGTTTTTGGCGTTTTTAATGTTACAGCCATACATATTATATTAGTACTGCAATTTTACAGTTTAATGTAAAGTACAATTATATTATTTTTCTTATACTCTTTTTTTTATTTTACAGTGAAATATTACATAGTAGTATTTCTTATTTTATGTAGTATTTTTATATTTATGTCTCTTTTATTTAGTAATAATAATAATAATAATAATAAATTAAATATATTAATAATCTAAAATATTAAAATTAAAATAACATATTTAAAAAATATTATTATTGTTATTATTATTTTATAGCCATCACAAAATTTTGGCCAAATTGTGCAGATTTGTACAAACAAGCACAGCAAACCAGGATTTTATTTGTATTTTTTTATAGCAATCACAATTTTTTTTTTATTAATGCAATTCACTTCCC